CCCCCCCCCCCCCGGGAAACCCGGGGGAGGGGTGTTGTGCAGATCAGATTATCTGTGTGCTTGCAAGTTTCTAGACCATCGATACGTTATGAATTTTTAAAAAATCAATAAATCAGTAATTTTACCCACCAATTTCCTACACCCATAGAAGAGACTTAAATAATTAAACAACCTTTGGCAGAAAGCAGAATTGTGCTGCAAGCACTTTGTCCTGGAGTCAGTTTTAGCTGGAGTGCTACCGGTCTGGGCACAACATTCTTTGCAACAGTTAAAGGAACATTGCTCCTCATTTCTAATGCCTTCGGAGGAAATCAGTGGTTGTTATTCCTGAGAGGTGGAGTTTTATTTATCAAATCAGCATATCTTGCTATCGTGAATCTCTTGGGATAATTTAAAAAACAACAGGATTTCAAGAAGAGTTTTAAAAATCCACATTAAATACATAAAATAAAACTCACCATTTCTATTTGGCATAAATGTACTGTACAGGGCACTGGCAAAGGGGATTAATAGCTTCCAAATTTTGCATTAGTGTGTTTTGATTTCAAGCATCACGGAGGCAAAACAAAACATTCTGTATCTCTACATTCCAATATACGTAGTAGGTCTATTAGTCATTCCATATTGTACTGAAAATAATTTTGTGACCAAGGCATGTTCTGTGATGGAAAACAGTTTCTCCCCTTCCAACTATACATGAAGCAAAGGCAAATCTCTGACATCCATAACCAGTGTGGATTCTCCAGTTGGAAAAAGTGGGCAGCTACTACCATAAAAATGTACATTCCCCAAAAGTCTTCTGAGAACATAGCTGAACCACAAGGCAATAATTGGATTGTAGTTTAGTTATGGAACAAAAGCATTCTCCATGTGGTAGTTGCAAACTCCATTAGTAATCTGCATGGCCTTAAGGTATCTTTTCATGTATAGCCATTTAAAATATCCTACAGTACATCACCACCTAATAGAAATTTCTCTGCTAACACTTAAGAAGGCATCAAATAACTGTGTTTTAAATAAACTATAAATATCCCATGTTTTCCTTTGCTTTTTGGCAGTCCAAAGTTTGTTGTGGGTTTTTTTTTTTTTAAATGAATACTTTTTTTTTTTTTTTTTGGCAAATTAAAAAGGCTTATGGCTTCCTAAGGCCAAATAACGTATGTGAGGCCTAACTTGGTATCCTATGGTAGAAGTAAATATATCCCAGATCTCTGGGAGGTCGCTCTGAGGCACAGACTTTAAGGTCGTTGTAGATCACCCATCTGAAATGAAAATAGGAAAGTGAGTATCAAGAGGATTCAAGTGCTGTAATTAATTCTTTTAATACAGCACCAACAAGACATTAACGCAGGGCTACATTAACACAGGGCTACTCAACACATGGCCTGTGGGCAACATGTGGCCCGCGGACCATTTGTTTGTGGCCCATGGTGCAGTTTGGGTTTAATGGGGCTCAACATGTGGCCTGTAGGTGGGGTTCTTTGAACAAGGCCTCCACTGGAGGGAACACGCTCCACAACTGCGAGGTGTCTCTCAGGCAGGGTGAGCACTGAAAGACGCAAGCGGACGGGCTGGTTAGAATAGACTGGGTACAGGGTATCAGTGTTACTAGCCCTCAGGGACAAAGTGCTGGAAGCGCTGTGTGAAAAAAGCTCTTTGCATATATTTGCATATATATCTGCATGTATATGCAACCACACTTAAGTTGCAGCCCTTGGCATGTACTGTGAGTATCACTGTGGCCCCCGGGCCTTCCAAAGTTGAGTAGCCCTGCATTAAGGATTTCTTATATCTCTACCCTAAAAAGCTTAAAATCTAATCAGAAAATGTACAGACAAAAACAACAATGAAAACAAAAGTGACTGGTACGGCAGACTTATTAATTAATAAATTACATAATCGGAGGGGCATGGAGGCAAACCAGAGATGGCTTCCTGTTGCCAGAAATTAAAGAGTGCTTGATGCACAGGAAGGGAGGAGGAGGTTGGTGCAAACACAACAAAATCCAAGTTCTGCATCAGGCCAGTCCCTGGTACAGATTGGCGCCGCCTTGGCATGTGCACAAACACACACATCAATTACAAGGAAAACCAAGTGCACTTCTATGTAACATTTGTAGCCTTCACTCCACTGAATGAGCGAGATAACAGAAATGTATTGTGTGATAAGAAACACTCGCACATTTTTGGGACGTGACGTACTATGCTGAAGCTGCCTACCATCCAAAAACCAAAGCTTCCCTTCCTTCCCCAAAGCCACTCACCTGCCCTCCTTTTTGAGATGGCAAACATAGTGGCCGCTCATTGTGGATGTTCCCATGTGGCTGATGAACCCAAAGAGCTCATATCCTGCATAAGAAACATCAGTGAATGATGAGCGGCAGTCCTCCGTTGCTGACACCACCTCACAGAGCCAAGAGACTTTTTTTTTTTCTTCAAAAACAGCGAGGCATTTTCATGATTCAGACTTCACATGCCCAAAAACATTTTCTATTAACCCTGCATAAGTGTCCCCTTTCACAGGTGGCACTTACCTTCACCAAACATGAATGCAGCACAAATCAACACCTCTGGGCACACACAACGTTGTCCGAGTTCAGCTTATACCTATAAATAAGGCTACCCCGAGAGCCAGATGCATTAGATGCTAATGGAGAATCCCTGGAGCCAGCTACCTGCGTGGTCCATGGGAGCATCTGAGCAGCGATCTCAGGGACTTCCCCAGAGCCAGCTGCACCAGCAGTCCTGGGGCAGCTGAAGCAACAGTCCCACAGGTACCCAGAGCCATCCGGAGAGCAGTCCCTGTACAATGGGTCGAGAGGCAGTCAAGCCTCAGCACTGGAGCAGAGCCCCCCAGAACAGGGGGCCCCAGAAGCAGAGATTTAGTCAGGGGTATTATTGGTTCAAGTCATGTAGTGCTCATGCCCCATCCATGACTTCATAAAAATACTGTGACTAAATCTGAACCTTACCTATGACCAGATCTATGAAAGACAAAATGGATGGGGCAAGGGTTTGGATTTCAACCATGATGCAGACAAGACAGTAGTAGGACATGCTACTTAGATACAGCCCAGTTTAGGGTTGTGAAAATTGGCTCCATACACCAATTAGTTAAATTTATGGATGTGAATGTTTGAACTCTTCTTAATCAAATGCAAAAGACAGAGACTATATCCACGAGTCACTTTTGGTCTGAGGTCACACTGGGTTTGTCTAAACTATGTCCCTCTGTCGAAAGAGAAATGTAAATTAGGTAAATCTAAAGTGCAAATGAAGCAGTGATTTAAATATCCTGCGCTTCATTTGCATAATCACATCACAGCAGTCTTTTGAAAAAGGTTATTTCGAAAGTGAAACCACAGTTTAGATGCGGTTCTTTCGAAAAAGGTTTTGGTTTTTTTTCCCCCAAAAGAACTGTGGTTTCACTATTAAAATACCCTTTTTCAAAAGACCGCTGTGACGCGAGTATGCAAATGCAGCATGGGATATTTAAATCACCGCTTCATTTGCACTTTCAATTTACCTAATTTACATCCCTCTTTCGACAGAGGGATGTAGTTTACACATACCCACTGAGTCCTTCTAGCCCCATTAATCTGACAAATATATATATAATCCTTGCAATGCTGGGAAAGCCCTTGAATATTAACTTCAACAGCTTCAGCACACTATCCAGGCATGGCTTCTCAACAGAAAGAAAACTGTAATGAGTTCATTGTTAGGTCAACTGAAAAAAAGGCTTTTCTGCACAGCAGGCATGGAAATCTTACTCTGTATTTGTTTATGCTGCACAGTATAGCCAGACTTGGAATTATTAGATTTTTATTGTTAAATACGGATTTCACCACTGACACACAAACTGAGAAAATATATTTATATTGAAGATCATTTAAATTTACAAAGTAGACAAAGAGAAGGAAAATGCTTTTGAGAACTTACTAGAGCAGGGGTGGGCAAAGGGCCTCCACGGGCCAGATCCGGGTCACAAAGCGGGTGGATCCAGCCTGTGGAGGCCCTGCTGCTCCCCCACCCCCAGGCCAATTAGGTTCTGGGGGAAGGAGAGCACGCAAAGCCCCCTCCCACCCTGCCAGGAGCACATGGCACTTTGAAACACCGCGCGTTGGTCGCAGGGTGGCGGGGAAGGGCGGAGGAGGCTTTGCATTCCCCCCCATCCCGTCCCTAGGCCAATCAGGGCATGAGAGCAGGAAATCTGCGTGAAGCTTCCTTCGCTCTGCCCCGCCCCTGCAAAGAGCCTGCGGCACTTCAAAGTGCCATGCGCTCAACAAAGGGCGGGAGGAGGCTTCCCGTGCTCTCCCGCCCCCAGGCTCTGGGTGCCTAATGGGAAGAGGGTCAAAAAGCCTTCCTGACCGCCCAGACCAATCATGGTCCGGGGGGCAGGTAGCTCCGCCCCTTCCTGTTTAGGCCCCGCCCCTTCCAGGGTGGCCCGGGGCTACTTCAAAAATTTCTGAAGTGGCCCCCAGTCAAAAATTATTGCCCACCCCTGTACTAGAGTTAAAATCCAATTATCTAGACTTTTGAATAAGGCTTGTTATGAGTGAACTTGCAAATCAATAGTAAAACAAGTATGATTTGTTAATTTAAGGATATTTACTTCCTATATTTTGACATGACCCTGACAATTTGTGTTTTAACTATTTAAGTTTTTGAATGTCAGCATCTACTGTCATTAAATAATTGTTTGACTTCACCCCCACCTCTTCCTCAAAAAGTCTTCCATCACTCTGAAAATTTAAATTGACAACAATCCAAGGGTGTGTGTGGGAGCTTAAAGATAGCTATCAATATTGACTATTCATTGAAATGAAATAAATTGAATTCTGCCAAGCCTAAGTATAGTCATGAACAAAATTAAATAGATTACACTCCTTCAAACAACTGGATAATGGGAATGACTTGGATTTTAACCCAGAGAGGGACTTCTGGGACCATTATACTGCATCAAAGCATATAATCAGAACTTCAGACAGGATCACATCCTCCAAAGTCTGAATGCACAAATCTAATTCTCATGGTCTTTATTGTAAACCTCTATTCTTTAAATGTATTCACCGTCCCCAAGACATTGGGATAATCGAGGTTGACCTTTATTTATAATAGTTAGTGAAATATTATTAAAAAGTTATTAACAATTTATTAAAAAGCTACCAGAGAAACAAAATTAAATAATTATATGGTGTGGCTTTTAGACTATTTTTGTAAGACTAGTATAGTAATGATAACTTTGGAGACAGACACAGGTGGATCAAGCATACACACTGCTGTTCCAGGATGGGAGTATTAAAGTTCATTACAAAGGCTACTCACTAGCCCAAGATTACAAATGTGCTGCAGTAACCCAGTGCATTTACATTTATGATCACTCTTTGCCTACTTTATATTCCTTGGCTGCTGTGCAATAGCCCCATCTTGTGGTTTACTTAGATCTATTACTTCTGGCAATGAGATCCTCCGAGCAAAACCATTAGCAAAATCAATGAAGTAATGCATGGGTATGTAGGATAATGATTCCTATTAAATGGATTATCAGATTACATGGCGACCAAAAGGCCTAGAGCCCAAATGGGTTTGTAACAACAGCAGAATCCTTAGGTTGATTAACTTTTAGAGACCTCCTCCCTCCAGGCTTAGACTTTTTCATATCTTTCCTCTTATAGTGAAAGGAAATTATATTTTATTTAGAGTAAGTGAGGGGAGTATTTTAACACTGTGAGACTGAATCAAAGTAACAAGGATACCGAATGATCCTGGATATAAAAAGATTTTCATCTGGTGATACACCATTAAAGCAGATGAATCAATGCCAACACAGGAGCATGAAGTTTACTGAACTGTAACACAGAATCATAAGGTTAGAGGGACTGCAAGAGTCATCTAGTCCAATTCCCTGCCAAGATACAGGTATGAGAGTGACAGGATTCTGGGAGGTTTTATCTGCATTTGCCTGCCCCTTTTGCTGGAAAAAAAATCAAGCCCCCTAATGCAGACTGGCTGCACTAGCACAGTTTAATCTGGTAATTTACCAAAGATTTTATGTAAATTCTGTTGTGTGCTAGTGTCTTGTGCCCATGTTAGGGCCACATACTAGACAGCTTATTAAATCCATTACATTTTCATAGTGGAAACAGGGTCTAAGAGCGATTTTTAGCTTCTGTAAGTGTGGCCAGGTACTCTCACAGAAGAAAGAAGTGACTCATCTTAATTTTACATATGGGGGAAGCTGAGGCCCAAATAAGTCATGTGATTTATTCTCACAGAAGAAAGAAGTGGCATCTTAATTTTACATATGAGGGAAGCTGAGGCCCAAATAAGTCATGTGATTTACCAAGGGGGGGGTGGGTGTGTGTGTGTGTGGTGTGTGTGTCACACACACACACACACACACACACACACACACAAATAAAAACAGGTTGCCTGGACTCCACTGCAAACCCTCAGTGAAGCTAACTTTTGCAAGAAAGAGAAGAGCTGTAGATATAACGTATCAGATATGCAACATTGCAGCATGACAGCTAAAACCACGACTCGAGGGGAACTTACTTCCAGACCCGTCTTTGATCCTGGGCCCTTCTGGCCCTGCCTCTGCAAGAATGTTGGCATTGGCATTATTTTCCATATCCATCACATCTGAAGCAGCTTCGCTTGACTCCTCGGGGTCCGGGTGGCTGAAGATCCAGTCCAGTGCACGCTCCAAATTATTATTCTGGCAGACATATGAGCAAAACACTAGCCATTAGCAATGTTCACCAACAGCGTAGCTCCCACGCAAACCCTGATCTCTAAGGCTATGTCTACACTGCACTCTAAACTCAAAATAAGATATGCAATTTGCATACACAAATTGCTTACTTATTTTGAGTTTATTTCAAAATAGGCTACTTTGAAATTTGGTGCCATCTACACAGTAACAAATTTCAAAATAAAGTGCTATTTCGAGACATCCCTTAACCCTCATGGAATGAAGGTTACCGGGATGCTGAAATAGCATGCGTGTTATTTAGAAAAACATTTCAAAATAACAAATGGCTTGTGAAGATGTGTGTGTTATTTAGAAAAACATTTCAAAATAACAAATGGCTTGTGAAGATGCGGGTGAATGGCTTGGGAAGAACCAGGACTGAGTTCAACAGTTTTCAGTACATTTGAGCTATACACACTGCCTTTATGAAAATGAGCATTCAGCTAATACTCTGCAAGTCTTTTAAACCAGGACTAGTACTAAATGATTTGCTGAAGCATTTTCAGCACCTCACAAACTGAAAGGTTCTTTGCTCAGTGTTCTACATGCTGTTGCCCATCATGAAACGACTGCTGCATTACACAGGATAACAATATTAATTTAAGCACAGAGGGTTTTAAAGTTATATTTGATGCAAAAAGTGGCTGCCTCCGTCCTTTAAATAATCCCAATTAGTTAGCTGAAGCCAGCATTAGGTATTTGGTTTCCAAAGCTGTAATTTTCAATTAATTGGAAAAAATGGCTGGAATTAATATTTTGATTCTAATAAATGGCTTAAAGTGAAGCCAATTTAGACTTTTCAACCTCTGTTAAATCAAAATCGTAGTTTACAATACATACCCAATTCAGAAATGGTGACATTTGTAATTTGATGCGCATCTCTCCTTGTGCAGCTAGCACAATGTCATTCTAGTCCACCACTAGAAACCATGGCAATGCAACCAATTGGTACTGGGAGGTCATATAGGAAAGCTTAAGTGATCTGGCTATGAAAGGCCTGAATTGCACTGTTCATCCACAGCTACTGTCAGCTACCAATGCTATGGCACTGTAGGTAGCATCAACAAGCATACAGGCTACTCAGATGTTCAGGAATAAGAGTGAAAACCAATGGCCCAGTCCTATGGTTTCCCCATTCAGATCACAAAAGCGTGCAAGCCACAGAATTACACGTGAACAGGAACCCCCAATTTGTGAATGCCTATGCTGCTTGGAGCACGATCCTACACATCATACTAACTAGATGGTAGCCAAGCAACATAGCTGGAAAGAGGCACTGCAGCCCACCAGTTGCTGTCACAGGAAGTATCAATATTAGTGGATAACGGGAAGTGACACCATAGAAAAGGCGGCAGAACAGCCCAATGTTAACCCCTTCTCCCTGGCTGTCATTCTACATGAAGGTGGGCTTTGGAGAGGCACAGAACAGATATGAAGAGAAACAAAGGTAAAGACTTCCTTCTCTCCAGCACCCAGAAAGAGACTTTCTCTCTCTTGGGGTGGGTGTCTCTTGGGGACACACCATAAGATCGCTATACCTGGAAAACTGTGGATGGCAAGTCAGAACACAGTCATGTAAGATGGGATTGCAACCCTTCAACACCCCAAAATAAAGAACTGAGGAACTCCTCATCCTCAGACATACTACTCTCATGCACCCAGAAAGCTTCAGAACAGGTAGACAGGGGAATCAAGTTCTTCTTATCTTGCCCTTCATGTCACATCCAACTGAACATTCACCTGAAATCTGTATACCCTTTCTCCTCACTAGGGATGTGAACAACTAATCGACTATCTGATAAGCATTTGCTTATCAGATATTCAAGTTGACTAGTTACTTCCCCCCCGCCCACTTGCTGCCTCTATCAGAAAGAGGCAGCAAGGTGGGGGAGGAAGGGATACTTCAAAGCGGCAGCGCTGTGTGGAGCCTGGGGCCAGGTGCCAGGCTCCACACAGTGCTGCCATTTTGAAACATTACGTGAAGCCCAGGGCCAGCTGGGGTGTTCCCAGGCTGCATGTGGCGTTTCAAAGTGGCAGTGCTGTGTGGAGCCAAGGGCCAGCAGGGGAGTCCCCAGCTCATCCCGGGCTCCACGGGGCACTGTCACTTTGAAGTGCCGCAAGGAGCCTGATGCTGGGCTCCCCACGGTGTTTCAAAGCAGCAGTGCTGCACCGAGCCCGAGGGCAGCAGCAGAGTCCCCAGCTGATCCAGGGCTCCACACGGTGCTGCTGCTTTGAAACGCTGTGGGGAGCATGAGGCCATTGGGGAACTGCCCCACTGGCCCCGCGCTCTGCAGCGCTTTCGCCTTTGAAGTGCATCGACTATTTGATTAGTCAGTTTCTTGAAATGTAACATTCCTACTCCTCACGCCTCTTACAACCTTCGAGGGCCAACCTTGCCTTAGGACCCCATTCTCCTTGCTTGCCCACATCCACCAGCAAGGTTTGAGTTCCTTCATGAGCACATTTCATGACTTTCCTTGCACATGTGTCTCTTCATTCTTGAAAAAAATCCAGAATTTCTCTTGACCACCCAGGAGACTTACTGTTGCTTTGAGGGATTGAAGAGCTACATTCCTCTGGAACCCCATGGAGGTGATGAGAGCTACCATCTCTTCTGGGGGCTGGTTATCTAGCCCAATCGCCCCTAGACCAGCTGCTCTGGCAGAAGCAACTCCTCCATAGCCAGGGATAGCTAGCGGCTCTGCAAAATCTAGAAGAGACAAAACACTCCATTTACACACTCCCTACCAACACATAACCAAGCAATGTATGGAAGTTCAAGAACAGCAACAATACCTATGTAAAGTTCATTTCTATAGGCTAAATCTGGACAGCAGGGGAATAGGAGGCCCCAAAAATCAGGTACTGGGTGTGGTTCATTGTCCCACGTAGTGGTACTTAGACCACTTACAGAGAGACAGAATGAGTTTGCTCTACAGCCTTAGCTGGCTTTTAGCTTATGCTCTAGAGGCTCATGCACTATGCTTCAGAGGTCCCAGGTTCAGTTGTACCTGTCAGTGTTACAAGTGGGGGCTAGTCCAGGATTTCAACTGGGGAGTCTCTGAAGCTCAGGAAGCGCTTCCTCAGTGATGGGAAGTATGTAACCCACACACTCACTGGGTGTAGTGTACTGTCCCGTGTAGTGGCAATTAGTGGGAGAAAGAATGAGTTTGCTCTATAGCCTTAGCTGAGAGCCAGCTGGCTTTTAGCTCAAGCTGTAGAGGCTCGTGCACTGAGCTTCAGAGGTCCCACATTCAGTTCCACCTGTCCACATTACAGAGGCACATGAGAAAGGCATGGATGGAGATTCTACCCCATTATGCTGCCTGGAACAGCTCAGTGTGCTACGGAGGTGAAGCCAATGCAGCAAGGCTACATAGACACAGCCAGAGGGTAAAGAAGCCAGATTTATCAGTCCAGGGCCCAACAGGAAATCCAAGTGCCAGACATCCCATACTTGGTAGGTATATACCCAACTCTACTCCTCAGGCCAGCAGCAAGGGGCTGTCGATCCTCTTTTGTTTTCTAGTGCAAGCTACTTTGTCATTGGGGACAAGTTACCTCTTCTAGTGCAACAGAGGTGTGCTGTGCTTTCTCCGGGCAATGGGTTTCCAGGGTATGTTCAGAGGGTTGAATTCTGTGTCAGGTTTATAGCAATGAGTACCAGTCCTAGTAACACTAGGGCACATTAGGAGAATGACAGATTTGTGTTTTCTAGTTTTCAGAGGGACAGGATAGGCTTGGCTTCATTTGCCCTGCATGGTGTAACAATCGATAATGACCCAACTAAGATGCACAGCAGAGCGAGATCTCATTCACACCCTTGAAACTACTGACCCGGTTCTTCCATGTGTGCAATGATCCAGTTGAAAGCCACTTCAGCACCCATGTTTCCAGTGTAGTATACAGCCTTCCGACATGCTTCCAAGGGAAAACCCATCTCTGCTAGCTGCATCACTGAAGATTCATCAATATCTGGGGCTACAAGAGAGGATATGCTGATATATAAAGTCAACATCAGTCCATTTGGGTGGTATTTGTTATTACATACCATGCTGCTTCCTATACATTGTATCACTGGGTTTGTTTTAACACTGCAGGGAACAAACATCCATTAATAAAAAGCAGCTTTATGCAAATTGCTACAGTGGGAACTATTGATGTATATATAGATTTAGATCTTAATGATTTACACTAAGGATCTTTCAGCCTTAGTAATCCCCAAAATGCTTTACAGGCAGCATTTATAGGAAACAATTCACATCCACTGCTGTTTTTAGCTGGAGCAGAGCTAGCATGGATGTCTGTATGAACTGGGACTCACTCCTCTCAGATTAACTGTAGGTGTACCCTTAGTGCTATAGCAAAGACCCAAGGTGTTGGGTGAGTTATAGATCATTTTTCAGGTCCGATCATGGCATATCAATTACAACTGTGAGTTATCAGGATTGGATACAACAATGTTATAACTGGGCTTGCCAATTCCCTTTTCCATTTACAATTTAGATGACTCTTGAGTGGGCAATATCAATGTTTAAAGAATACCAAGTGGCATTTCTCTGCAAAATATACCCCAACCTGCTAAACTGGGGCCTCATCCAAAGCTCACTGACGTTAGCAGAAGCCTTTCCATTAACTCTGGATCAGGCCTGACATCCACTTTAAAAATGGGGCTTTTTAATCTAAAATGATCCTAAATAGCTACTTATAAAAACAGCAACAACAAAAAAATCATACTTGTAATTTCAGAGCCCTTCTTCCAATCCAGTTAACTGGGTTTTAAATTAAACAATGACAACAAAATGCACCTGTGCTCAAATCTCTTACACCAAGAGTACGTCCAAAGTGAATTAACCCCAAATTATAAAAATGAGACTTCACACCAGAAATTACCATAGATTCAATGGCTGCTCATGTGTTGGGAATCACAGTGCTATGAAGGGTCTTTCAAGTACCCGAATGAGTGCGAGCCAATGCTGGAAAAAGTACCACACTGCAGTTTTACATCAATGCACATGGTGAGAGCAAAGCACCATGCATATCTGTGTAGGCAGAGCTACCATTCTTTGAACTAGAGCACGTGGATGAGTTTGAACAGCTAAAATGTCAGCACAATGCGCTGGGGAGAAAAATGAAATACGTACGCTCCATGAAATGGTTCATCATGCGATCTGGAAATTGAGAAAGAAAAAAGGAGAAGAAGTGAGTTTGAACGACAGTCAGCTGACCTCTACATTGGAAAGAAAAGAGGGCAAATTTTGTTAGTAATAAAAATGTGTGGTGCCTTAAGGGCAGCATGTGTTGTGCCGTCAGAAGGTCACAAAGATCATTTCAAGCTTAATAAAGTAGAGAACCACTGGTACTGTAATCCAACAACAAATGGGATAATTACTGGACCAACCCCATTGAAATGAGGCAGGCCATGATGCTGTGAATATCATACCACCAAATAGAATTATTTCTTTCCCCTCAAGACATAATCTGCGCACCCAGATATAACAGCATGGGTATAGTGAGCTGATTTCTTTGGCTACGTCTAGATTGCATCCCTTTTTCGTAAAAAGGATGCAAATTAGACGTATCGCAATTGCTAATGAAGCGGGGATTTAAATCTCCCCCGCTTCATTAGCATAAAAATGGCTGCCGCTTTTTTCAGCATGGAGCTTTGCCGGAAAAAAGCGCCAGTCTAGACGCGGATCTTTCGGAAAATAAAGCCTTTTCTGAAAGATCCGTTATCCCTTATTTTATTAATTTTAATCAATTGCTTCATTAACAATTGCGATACATCTAATTTGCATCCTTTTTACGAAAAAGGGATGCAATCTAGACGTAGCCTTTATGTATAGGAAAAGGCTGGGAGAGAAAAGGCACAAGACTAACAAGATGAGGTAGTGGACACGCTGAGAAGTTTTACTTGCACCTGAGAATGTTAAAACCAGAAGTGAGTGATTAACAGTTCCTATGTTAGCACTTATCCCTTTCTTGAATTTAGCCATAAGAATAGTAACCCTTATCCCTTTCCTAGTCCTCTTCCAAGCCCATTTGTTCTTTGAGGGTTATGTGGCAGCCCACCATCTTGGCCGATACACTGGTAACAGAACTTACAGTTTATATTTACAAGAAATGTGCCAAATAGTGATAATTAATGTCAGTCCGGTATAGCTGAAGTACACGTTGCATATAGAAAGCCATATACAAACTGTCTGTTTAGACTGTGAGAACAACCCCCTCTCTCAGCACTTTTTGCAAGTTGCTTGTTTCATTAGAATTCAGTGTCTCTTGTAGCTGAATCTGTATGTAAACCACCTAGCAAGAAGCCATAATGCAGGAAGGCCAAAATGGATGAAGTCAGACAGCAGAAGCCGTCAGTTTTATTTTCACTTATAAAAGGTAAAGCTCCTAATTTAGCCTTTACAATGTCCATTTCAAGGAGACCCAGATGCCCAGAAAAACAGAGTAAATCACAGGGAGCATTCTGCAGAGGAGAAATAAAATTGAAATCACTATATGTCTGCGTATTCCTGTAGCTATTTACACCAAAATACAGATTAGAGATTGGCATTCTTCCATATTTGGAAAGCTTACTGCAGTAACAGCACTACTAGGACCCAAGTAAATTAAGGAACCAATCCCATAATGCGAGTAGCATCATCCCTTCTAATATAACATTAAATATTCAAACACCAAGACACAAGTCATCATAAAGCAAATTTCAATAGTCTGTGTCTAAGGTCATATAGGATAATAAAGTGAATTTACTAGCTACAAAATATTTCATTGTCAGGAGGAAGCAACTTCCAATATTGCTTTTACTGGACAGGCGTTTTCTAGATAAGGATTATTTCAAGAAAATGTCACATTTTGTTAGACATCTGGGCTGCGTCTAGACTGGCATGATTTTCCGCAAATGCTTTTAACGGAAAAGTTTTTCCGTTAAAAGCATTGCGGAAAAGAGCATCTAGATTGGCACGGACGCTTTTGCACAAAGGCACTTTTTGCGGAAAAGAGTCCGTGCCAATCTAGACGCGGTTTTGCGCAAGAAAGCCCTGATCGCCATTTTCTCCATCGGGGCTTTTTTACGCAAGACAGTTTTTAACCTGTCTACACTGGCCCTCTTGCACAAAAGCATTTGCGCAAGAGAGCTTATCCCTAAGTGGGAGCATCATAGTATATGCGCAAGAACACTGACAATCTTACATTAGATCGTCAGTGTTCTTGAGCAAATTCAAGCAGCCAGTGTAGACAGCTGGCAAGTTTTTCCGCAAAAGCGACCGCATTTGCGGAAAAACTTGCCAGTATAGACGCAGACCTGTCGTATTGTCTAACACAGAGGAGTCTGACCCATGACTGGGGCTCCTCAGTGTACTGTAAAACAAGTAATAAAAGATTAATTCTTGCAATGAGCAAGTGTCAGACTTTCAGTCCTACTGCGTGTATTATTAAGGAAGTCAAATTAGATTTTCATAATGGTACCGTCTAGTCTTAGATTCTGTAAATCTATATAACCCTTTGTGTGCTAAATGTAGTTGTGCTGTAAATTAATTATTCTGGTTGGAAGAAGTGCACTTTTCTCCTTCGAGTAGACCACCAATAAGCAATGTTTGGTCTAATACAAGATAACAGATGGTACTGGGACTGGATAAGATTATGCTGAGAGCCCAATACAAGAACGTTATTGACTGATTTAGGGATCCTGAAGGCAAGAACCTGTCCTTGTGCACCAGTGAACAAACATTGGATGATGATGATGATTATTCAGCCATAGTCATGACAAGATTAATTGATCATTGGCTTTTATGTGGCAGTTAGCATAAAAACTATTACTGGGGGTTAAATTTCTATCCTACCTTTGGCACCCACCACTGATTCTACATTAGGCATTCAAGCCAGAAATGCATTCCCTGTGGGCCGGAATGAGTGCTCATGGTGACTGTATGAGGCTAAAAGGGAACCAGGAGCATGCACTCAAAAGGTTGAATCTGGCCCTCTGTGACTACTACTACAAACCAATGAGTTTGAGCAGAGATCATCTTTTTATTACAGGTTTGTACAATGGGACCTCATCCTTGGTTGCTTCTAAGATGCTGCTACAAAACAAACACCACCAATACTAATAGTGAGGGGCATTAGGGACTAGGTGCCTTCTGAGTGACACCTCTGAAAGTTCTAGAGTCAAGCCCTACAGATTTCCCTAAATGTAATTCAGTTCTAGACACTTGTGAAGGTTTTAGAGGGAATGAGAACAAGCAGCTGGTGACAGGGATGGAGTGGATGAAAAAGGGACACCCTCTTGTAGGGAACAGTGTGAATTAGGGAACAGTGTGAATTCCCTATGCTATCAACAGGATTAAGCTAATTCAATGCTTCTTAACAGGTATGACAGCAGCATTCATGGCCTGATTTTCAACCAACAGCAGCTGTGGATGCTCAGTACCTTTGAAAACACGTCAGGGCAGCAGTGCTTTATTATTGGTCTATCCACACCCTGTATTACAGAGTCATGTTCCTGTGCTTGCACTGCTGAAGCATGGCAGCGGAAAAGAGGGGCTATTCAGATGTATCAGCAGGGAGGTGAAGAAACAGACTAACAATCTGGGTAGAGGACGGCAAGGTGCAAGGAGAGATTTTGGAAGCAGAGGGCAGTACCTTTGGGGTCATCAGGAATGACAATGGGCGGAGCAATGTCAGGAAGTTCCTCTTCTCCCGGTTGTAGTCCCGTGGCACGGAGGTGATTGATATCTAGTAGGTCTGGCATGTCTACGGAAACATCTGCAAACCCAGAGAGGAAAAGATTATTGGTGCATTCTAGAACATATACATTGTATTGCAAATATACATGTTATAATGAGAGTGACTCAATACACACACTACAAACACGGCCACGATTCTCTGCCTTTAAACTGTTAGTCAGATTCACCGGTGAAAAGTTCAGGACATTTTTAAAGGGCACTTTTACAATGAAAAGGGACTATGTAAAATTGACTTCTCACTCCCCTGATCTAGAGTTCCGGTGTGGCCCTTTATGAAAACAGGGGCCCACTGGGTTTTGTTACAAACTCAAGACTCAGCAACGTACACAAGCCTTCTAAGGGAAGCTGGACTGAATGAGGAGGAAAGCATATAAGATACATACCAAGCTTTTGAGGTATCCAGTCGAGGCCAAAGGTGAACTTCTTTATCTGCACCACCAAGTACTCAGGAAACGAAGCAAAGCGAGATGTCCTGGGACACATAATGCACTGTTTTATTGACATAACTGTCTTTACTAGCTACAAAATATTTTGCGAAGGGTAAATTTTGGTAAATAGGTGTGGGAATTCATCCAAGTAGCTCCTAATAACAATATGCATCATGTGGCTAGAAATTTAGGGCATTAGGTTGAAAATACAGGGTAGACAGATAATCTACCTGGCTGAAGTGTCCCCTGCTCACAGTGTGGTACGGCAGGCTGGGTGGCGGGCTGCTCCAGCACAGCCAGACCACTAGTTAGCCAGTAAGCATCACCCTTATCAGGTTAACCAGATAACCACTGGCATCCCTAGCTTTTTTTTATGTGTATGTACAACCTAATCCTGGCTCTGTTTAGAAGAGCAGAACATTGTTTACTGCCTTGGGACATGCTCACACTTAATGTATGAAACCACTTTGGTTTTTTCTACATTATTTTCTTCCAACTGTATCTGTCTTCCTGTTTGCTATATGGTGCAGTCAGTGAAACTATACACTAATGAGTATGAATTACTGGCATTGCTAAAAATAGAAGGCATTCTAACAAAGCAGCACAGTCGCTGGGCCCAGTTTTCACCCATTCCTTGCTATTTTTGAAGACACGTCATATGTGGCATTACAGAGTTTTTGTGATACTCCAACTGTTTAGTTCTTTTTCTTGGCATAAATTATGCCCCCTATTGCTGCACCCCTCCTCCTATTCTCCTTTGACCTCCCAATATTTTCTGCATCCAAGCCCTTTTGGTTACATCTTTGGTCTGGTTTTTGATTGTATACTCCATGGAGGCAGGTTCCTCCTCTTTATATTTACCTGTCAATCATCATGCAAAGTGACACCATATAAGTAACAATAATGAATTATTACAAATGTATCCTAACTCAGCAGCACAGAGAGCCATGCTGGGGTATTTTGGCTGAAATTCAGACATACATATCAGAAACCAAATTTTAATACTGTCCCTCTTGCACTTTGAAATCTTCATCCCATCAACCTTAAACAAGGAAGAACTTTCACCTCCATTTGCTCCACCCTATTTTGTCTAGGGACTGCATGTGGTGCTTTGGAGCATCTTCAGACAAAGCTGGACCACAAGATTTAAGAGATGGAAATCCAAACTTGGTCTCTTGTGTGGTAACATAGATCTCTTATCACTAGCTACTGCATAACACCTGGGTTAAAGCTGCACAGAAATTCATCAAGCCACTAAGTCTTACACTCCCTGTAAGCATCCACAAAGCTACCTCCCAATCCAACTTCAAACTCCCTCCCTAAAACTCTCCCTTCTCACAGTGCCCACAGAAACTTGACAACAGTTAGGCTGCTGGCACGCTGGGATCCCTTCCTTACACCAATATTATTCCTTGTATTCCCTCACCAGTCTGTCCCGGGTTCCTCCACTGTCTATACTTAGACCGTAAGCAATTTGGGGGAAGGAGTGATTTTCGTTGTTTGTACAGCACCAAGCACAAAGGTGTCCACCTCCATGAACAGAACTCAAAGTGCCATCGTAATACAAATAAATAGCCACCACCAAGCTTTGAACAGCCAAATGAAGATCATCGCTGATGTTCAACAAAAAGTGATTTATTTAATGCTCAGGGGGTCACTACAAGCTTTCGAAAGGTGAACTACACTTTTCGCTGGAGCACAAGTGAACTAATCTTCATGAGCCTCCTCACCAATCCAGATCGATGACTGAATCTGCTTCATTATCTAAGTCTTGCTGTATCACAGTCAAGAGGTAAATCAACCCGCTTTTAGTAGGGAGTCACACACTTACTTAACTCCTGCTGATTTTGCTTGGAGAGCACTGCTCCAGAAATCGTCCACGTTTTCCGGTTCAGAAAAGGCCTGTAGACACGCACTAAATGGAATCTTGGCACGTACGAGCTCTGGCGGAGGTCTCCTAGCCGCTTCTGCTTCTCTCCTTTTCAGTTCATAGGCAATTAATTCGTCTGATCAGAAACAGACATGACACTGAAGGCTATGTGAACAATGCATCTGCCACACTATTTTATATGGATCTCGATACGTCCAGGAGACATAAGACCTTATCTGCATCATATGATAGGCTCACATCAGTCTCACTTAATGGAAAGCCCCCTCCTCTGTGTTGGTTACACCCATGAAAGGAGACTCAACCCTCTATAGAGCCAAGACATGGGATATTTCTTACAAGGGGTTACCGTGACACCAGGAGTCTGTGTTATGGGTTGACATTAGGAAATCCAGATCTCAGGGGTGTACTGAGTCACAAAAGTTCAATTTTGTCTCCTATTGTTCATCAGTCTCTTTTTACAGAAAAGAATTAAAGGCATCCTAGATTTATAAATGTTAAGGCCCAAAGGGACCATTAGGCTCATCCAGTGCAGGGGTTTCAAGCTCACAGCCCATCTATAGCTGGAGCATTTTCACAATATAGCCAGGGAGTGGATTTCCATACCTGTTCCCCAAGTCTCACTCCTTCCTGCCATCACTTTGCCCCCTCATCCTCCATTGCACCCTTCCCCCAAGGGACATGGCCTCAGGGATTACCAGGGGGGCCTTGCACGGGATGGCAGCATGGTTCGGTGAATGCGGGAGGCCCCTGGCCCCTACTGTTACCCCATGGCAAGCCTCCAGTAATCACCAAGGCCGAATCCCTTGGGGGATGGGATACAATGGGGGAGGAGGAAAGAGGACAGGCAGGGGTAGGGTTTGGGGAATGGGTATGGACACAGGGACTCCTGGGCTGGATTGCGAAAATCCTCCTGCTGTAGATGGCCCATAGACTGAGAGTTTGAGACCCTTATTCTAGTCTGATCTGCATATCACAGACCACAGAATCATACACCGTAATTTCTGTATCACACTGTGGCTCAACAAGAACATATCTATTAGAAGACACCCATGTTCCATGTGACACAGAATTTATCACCTCCAGAGGTAATCTGTTCCGAGGGTTAAATACTCTCATGGTTAAAAAAAAATTGCATTTTATCTCCCTAGGTGGCAGAGTAAAGCAGGACTGCACACAGCAAACTAAGCCAGGCATACCAGAGAATATAAGAACAAAAGAGAGGACATACTAGGTCAGATCAATGTCCATTGTGCTCAGTATCCTGTCTCTGAACTATATCAGAGCCTCAAGGAGTGAACAAAGCAGGACAATTATGGAGGTAAACTTCTGTCTGCCAGATGCAGGGAGTGTAAGTCCCTCTAAGCATGGGGCTGGGTCCCTGACAGTTGTGGCTAATGGCCATTGATGAACCTCTCCTCCATTAAATTATCCAGTCCTTTTTCAAACCCAGATATATTTCTGGCCATCACAACATCCCATGGCATCAAGTTCCACAAGTTGGTTGTGCACTGTGTGAAAAAGTACTACTATTTCTTTATATTAAGCCCACTACCTATTAATTTCATCAGGTGACCTCTGGTTGGTGTTTTTTTTTGTACTGTGTGAAAGCATAAATAGCACTTCTCTATTTCTTTTTTCCACTCATTCATGATTTTATAGACCTCTATCATCTCTCTTCTTGGCTGTCCCTCTTCTAAGCCAACCTGCCTTAATCTCTGTAGTCTCTCCTCATATGGAAGCCATTCCATACTCCTTAATAGGGATGTCATTGTGTAGTCGACTACATGATTAACTGATAAGCGTGGGCTTATTGGTTAATCTTGTCAACTACACGCACTCTCCATCTGCCCTTGCTTCCTCGTATCAGAGGCAGCAAGGCGGGGAAGTGGGAGCCGGTGCTCATGACGAGCTGGCTTTAAGCAGGCTCCCCATGAACACCAGCTCCGCCTACTCCTCCACCGCTGTCTCTGATAGAGCCAGCAGCAGAGGGTGAGGACAGCAGGCTGGAGCAGATACACATGGGGAGTTGGCTTTCAAGCAGGCTCCCCGCACATGCCAGCTCCGCAAACCCGCCTCCCCACACTGTCTCCTGCAGTGAGGTAGGGCAGGCAGGAGCCGGTGCAGGGGTGAGCCGCTGCCTCTATCAGAGGCAGCAACATGAGAGAGAGGGCAAGGAAGGCTGCCACAGAGCAGCCTCTGTCCGCAGTGGCCCAGAGTTGCCATGGACAGAAGCTGGTCCACAGCAGCAGCCCCTGTCTGAGGGGGATGGGTCCAAGCTTCCCATGGACAGAGGCTGTTCCAGCATCCCACAGATCAACCTCTGTCCACAGTAAGCCAGGGCCTGCCACAAACAGAGGCTGGGGTCCATGGCAGCAGCCGCTGTCCGCAGGAGCTCTGAGCTCCCTGCACAGACAGGGGCTGCTGCCACCCCACACTGCTGCCTCTGTATCAGAGGCAGGAGTGCAGGGTAGCAGGCAGCCAGTTTTCACAGGAAGCTGGTTTTTAAACTGGTTCCCTTGGCAGACCAGCATGGGGCAGCAGGGGGCTCCCCAGGAGTGAGGTCGGGAGCACGCTGGATGCTAGCCCCATCCCTGTGGACTATTGAATAGCTGTGTAATCGCTAAGATGTCATGTGGTTATATGACTTCAATTACATGATGGCTAACATCCCTACTCCTTAAATCATCTTTGTTATCCTTCTCTGTACCTATTCCAATTCTAATAGATCTTTTTTGAGATGGGGTGGCCAGAACTGCATGCAGTATTCAAGGTCTGGGCATATAATGTGGTTCTATATAGTGGCATTATGATATATTTTGTCTTATTATCTTCTTATCCCACAGTTTTTGACTGCCAATGCACAATGTGCAGATATTTTCAGAGAACTAAGTGGTAAAAGCTAATTTAAACCCTATACATTTGTCTGTATATTTGGGATTATGTTTTCCAATGTGCATTACTTTGAAGTTATCAACACTGAACTTCATCTGCCACTTTGTTGCCCCATCACTTAGTTCTTTGAAGTCCCTTTGTAACTCTTAGCAGTCAGCTTGGATTTGGCTATCTTGAATAATGTGGTATTGTCTGCAAATTTTACCTTCTCATTCTTCAACCCTTCTCCAGCTCATTTATAAATATGTTGAACGGTACTGGTCCCAGTAAAGATTCTTGGGGGACCATGCTATTTACCCATCTCCATTGTGGAAACAGACCATTTATTGCTATTCGTTGTTTCTTATCTTTTAACCAGTCTCTGATCTATGAGAGGACCTTCCTTCTTATCCCATAGATGCCTATTTTGTTTAACAGTCTTTGGTAGGGGACTTTCTTGAAGGCTTTCTGAAAGAGGAGTCCTCTTCATTTTGCAGCAATTTCCCCATGTTTTGGAAAAAGACAGATCCGGGAGCCCTGAGTCTATACATATGCATACCTTGTAGGCATGCGAGCCAATCTGAAATGTTGTGTTCTTGATCAGCTGCAACATAGACCACCACCAACTCAGTATGGAAAGGCCACTTATGAAGGTGACTGAGAGTGCTATCACCCTAGCTCACAGAACTGGGTCTTATAGCTCAAGTACTAGATTTTCATGTTCCAAGATTTCAGAGATCTGAGACGCAATCTCAGCTGCTACCAACCAACACAGGGACACAGCATTACATTAACCCTAGCCCATCTCCAATCAGCCTTCATTTGTTGATTTTAGACAGACAGCACCGGCAAGTCCCTCCACCAGCACCCTTCTGACTTTACCTTTATTTGTTGCTGCCTCCATGGCCACAGGTAACTGCATGAGATAGTCCACCCTCTCTGTATATCGGACTTTCCTAGACTGGCAGCACTGTGTGCGTTCTTCCACCAGGAACCGGAAAACATCACTAGGGTTTTCTGTACCAATGCGGTTTCTCTGAAGGGAAGACCAGATCTGATCACCTGAGTAGCATTACAGAGCCTAGAGTATGCAAAGTGCTTTACAGACATCCAAAGACACCATCCTTATCCCAAGGAGCTCAGCCCCTAAGGAACACACATTAGTCCATGCTGGGGGACCCCTGCACAAGACGAAATTGCCATCCATGTCTCTGAGGAGAAACAGATGTCTGCCCATACAGTCTCAGAGGGGTAGCTGTGTTAGTTTGTAACTTTAAAAAAGTGCGTAGTCCTGTAGCACCTTAGAGACTAACAAATATGTATGTATGCATGTATGTAGTACCATGAGCTTTTGTGGGAAAAAACCACTTCCTCAGATGAGCAGAGTGCCTGGACAGTGTAACTTTCGGAATGGGGGCCTTAATGTAGATATGCTACTCAGAGTAAAAGGAACAATAAGGTGCAGGAAGGAGGCGGGTTACAGTCAAAGTGTTGGGTAGCATTAGCCACAATCCTTTCAGTAACCAGATTATTACTCTTATGCTCTGAGAACTGCATTGAAACAGAGCAAGCAACTTTTTGTTAATTATCCAGCTGAAATGCCACAAATAATACACCTCGTCTTTGTTGTGCATGTTAATGTCTGTTATCAGGCACTCACAGGAAAATATCCAGTAACCACCCCCATAATGAGTGCATGGTTTGGGACACGGAACATTAGGCACACAGATCTGAATAACTCCACACGGAGCATAACACATGAACGAGCACCCAGAATCCCAGGAGGAAGGCGTATGCTTTAAACTGTAAGTGGTTGTCTCCTTTGTAAATTTCCTTTTCAACACCTTAGAGAAAGTATTAGCATTCACAGCACTGACTGTGTTGCATTGCAGCATTAAGCTGCAGCTTAATGGAAATAACATTTCGTACCACAGACACTTTGCTTTCAGTATGGGAATCCATCTTCTCCATAATGATTCAATAACATACAGCTAAAATTTGTAAGGAAGCTAGACAGGGTAATTTGTCTGCTCCAGAAAAGGATATAAATATGTGGGTAGTAATAATACCTGCTCCATTTAACATTCACAGCCTTTGTACTTATAAATATATGGACAAATTGTATTTGTATACCAGGCTACAAGGGACAATCATACTTGCTTATAGCACTTATAGCTTGTTTAATGGTGCTCAAATGGTACCAACTGAACTACACTGGTATTCAAACTGATTTAGTTAGATCAATGTAATTCTTATATAACAGGCCTTAAAGGGTTTGTTTGTTTTTTTAAAAAAAAAAAGATGAGATAACATTACTACCCCATTTCTTATCTCCTGACCCGTCACACAGAGATAAAGAGAAGAAATAGTGAACCCTTTCTCACCTCTACTAGGTTTATAAGGTGCAGGAAAAACTCCTGTGCATCTTGCTGTCTATTGGAGGAGAATTCTGGGTGCCCTTTGCTTACAAAGGCCTTAAACATACGAGGAGAAATTCCATTGTGTTGAGGCTACAAAGAAATGAAGAGAAATATTTTTGAAAAGCATTCTGCGCATGTTGGCCCGAACTGCACACTGGCTCAAACCTTAAAAGTTAGGTTTCATGATCAAAATGCCACAGGAAATGAAGCCTAGCCATGGAATGTGATCCATAATCCGCTGCCTACAAGCTCTGTAAATGCAGACTTCAGACTGACAAGCAATGATTCGTATCCTGTAAGAATGGCAAATGCTTCTCGGACTTCAATACTTAAATCCCTGAAAACCAGGAAACAAAGAACTATGGTATTCATCAGCCACGTGCCACTACTGTCTCCTAGAGCTGCCAAGAGCTTCAGCCAGGGCTGGCCTATAACAAAAAAACATGACTGAATAACTAAATAAATGTGCCATTTTGTGTGTTGTGGTGGACAGAATTCTCTCCTTTATCTGCACACTCCAACTGCCCTTCACTGTGCTCAAGACAGCTACATAGATTGGTGTGTGGAGTCCTCACACTTGTACTTACCGAAGCAAGTGCAGGTGGCATTCCAGAGGGAATCCTTAGGACCAGGGTCCAGAAGTGATAACAAGTGGCAATTTAGATGGTGGTTTGTGCAGAGTAAGCCAAGTACAGGACAGATGCAGCAAACTAGTATTCATTAAGCCTGCATGAAATGTGACTTCGCCTTAGTGAGAACATGATCTGACCATTTCTCCTGCAGTCCATGCATGCTCTGTGCCTGCACATGTAACCCACATACCTATTGGATGTGGTGTACTGTCCCATGGAGTGGCACTTAGACTACTTACAGAGAGAAAGAATGAGTGTGCTCTACAGTCTTAGCTTTTAGCACAGGCTGGAGTGCAGAGGTTCACACACTAAGCTCCAGAGGACCCAGGTTTGGTTCCATCTGTCAGTTTTACACACATGTATCCTCTGGAAGGGAAAAGTGCTAAGATGTCTGAGTGAGGCCCTCAATTCCCCTTGTCAAAAATGGCAGCATAAAGGATGCAGGCTGAGGTTGGTGCAACCCTTAATTCTGTAATCCCTGGTTCTCAGAGGTTTAAGCACAGGTGCATTCTGGAAGGGTATGAGGCACTGCTGATCAGCCCTAGCTGTGCTGAAGTTATTGGATCGTGAGGTTCCCTTGTTTTTTGAGCACGTGGTGGTATTTTGAGGAAATGATTATAAGGAATAGCACATGAGTGGGGAGCACCTGTAGGGAATGCACAACGAGGCTTCCTCTTTACCACTTGACCATTAATACCAGATTGGGCCCTCATGAGGCACGATAATTTTCAAGACAATACCAACAAGTGTTTGTATTTTAGAGCACCTGGAAAAACTGGCTAGTAAGGATAATGGTGCTACTGCCCATTATAATACAGGAGAAACAGCATGAAATATGATGCACATAAAACACATTATTAAAAGGAAACTTTCACTCATAGGACCCAATTCTGATCTTGGTGTCACTGGTATGAACAAGGACTAACCCATTTAGATCAACAGAAATCAGAACCAGGCCCTCAGTTTTCAATGCTGGCTCAGCTGCTGGCAGTACACCAGGGATATGATTACACTAAGATGCGCTTTAAGAGCTTCTGTAAACATCTAGAGACTTAAGAGGGATTTCTGAATACCGAGCTGTGTATCGTATTGGTGTCCTCAACTACCCTACATCAAAGGAAGAAGGGATACAAAAGGAAACTCAGACAAAGCTTCCTTCTAAGAGAGAAGGATTTAGAAGCAAGCAAACTGTTGTCCGAGATTTTTGGTGAGCTGAATTTGAAATTCACCCCCATTGCCATTTAAATGCAACTTTTATTCAACCATCTGAGTAGCAAGAAGAAAAATGTGTTAATGTGCCATTTTCTCAAGGCTAGGATCTCACACACACAACAAAACTTGGTCAATGTAAACCAAAAAAACAAGATCAATAATAGCAAAGACCTGGGTAAAAAAATCAGTTCCTGATGACACCACAAACTTGGGGCCTCTTTTTATGTTGAAGTGGGCTCCAAGTAGCCCACTGCTCTTCCTAAACTGCTCTACAATAGTGGAAAGAAGATTTCAATACCACAGAACCAGGAATATTTACAGACTACGGGGCATACTTTCCTCATCAACAGTTGCAAAACCATTTAGCTAAATATAGCACAGATGGAACCACTCAAGATCTCATACAAATGCCTTCACAGGCAACACCCACTGACATCAGGTTATGGCTGCATTCCAAAAATCCAGGCTGTTAAAGGCTGCTAGTGAATAAGATGTGAACTTCATGCCACGTACACGCAAAATGGAAGTCCTGGGCACTTTTGAACATGTTTGGCCAAAAATCCCTTCACTGTTATACTCATGCATTTCAAATGCCACAGCAAACACCTTGGAGGGCAGAATGTGCACTGGGTGGACAGTAGCATTTATCTACAAAATTCCCATCATTGCAATGCCGCCAGTGCAGCTCACCAGAGGGAGCAAGAGTGGGAAATGCCTACCCCCGCAATTTTCTAAATACTACTATAGTAACAAAAAATTAAATCAGTAAAAACTGTTTCGCTCCCGACAGCATGTTAAAAACTGCTAAAACAGGAATCCATTTGAACCTACTAAATTATGAACAATGCATATACTTTTGTGCCCCTGGATGGCACTCTTTACATTTAATTAACTGGCAGAGATGAGTCCCAAATGTTATTCTGCAAAAAGCTCTGGATAGTTTATTACAACATCCACAGTAGCAAATGCTGTAGCTAAAGTGGAGATGCAGTTTTCATTCTAACCCCCTTTGTCCCATTGAATGTGAGGCGTAGCATATTATTCTTTGTTTTGTTAAACACACATAGGATATGCCACAAGTTAGTTGCTGTTGACACCTTAACACTGCGGCATTGCATTTCTGGAAAACTGTGCCTGGATTTCTCAGTGTTAACATTAGCTCTTGACTTTTAATAAATGAAAACACAAGCAAGATTCACCAAAGCTTCTGTTACCCGAGGAATAAAAACACTGGCAAAACAATTATTCAGAAGAAACTTTTGTTGAGATATAATTTCAGATTATGCAAACCAGAGTTGCAAATCAGAGATTCCACCTTTGTCCAAAATCCGTCTACTGACTAATTCCCTTTTAAATAAGAATGATCAGGTAGAGTGAAATTTCTGTGTCATCAAAAAGGAAGTGGGGGTGGTGAAGCAGATAATATAAGTAACTACAGCAACTGTCACTCTGTTTCTGTTGACAAAAGCATGTCCAGCTTCTGTTATATCTAAAAATACATCTTGGAATTTATCATAGATGCTTCTTCCAAGAAAGAAAGTTCCTCTCCAGACACGGTATCGTCAGTATCTATTACAAGCTGACCTTTTGTTTCCAAACATCCCACCTCGGTGTGAGGAAAAGTTGATCGCTGGTTAAATTTCATGTTGTGTGGGGCTCAAAGTAACAAAGGTTGGCAGGGACACAAATACAAACTAGGTCCAAAATGTAACTGCCAAAATAGCATCAAAGTAAACTGAGGTGATACAGCGGCACAGATATCGACCTCTATAGAATGCACCTGGCAAGATAGCACTGTATTTTCATGGTAACTAAAGGACTTGCTTCTAGGATACACCAAAATCACCCCACCAAGAGGGTTGCCAGAGGAAAATAAGGAGAGCTTAGAAGCACTTTAATTAAAAGTGAGGAGAGAGAAACGTGGGTTAATGATTCTCCCTGCAGACAGAAAAAATGAACCGTGGTCCATGGTTTCATAAGGATGAAGGCCAAAAAGAATTACTAGATCAGTGGTTTTCCAGCTGCAGGTCAGGACCCCAAAGTTTTAGTGTGGTTTTCAGGACTGGCTTTTAGCCCCAGACCCCAGCCAATCTAAGAAGAAGTCCAAATCCAAGCCGCACCTGCTGAGACTCAGACTTTGACTTCATTCCTGGGTGATGAAGCTAAGGTTACAGTGTCCCCCACCCCCACCCCGGGGTGAAGCCCTTCAGTTTTGGTTCCTACCTCCCAGCACACGCTGGTGGGGCTCAGGCTTTGGGGAGCAGCAGGCCTCAGACAGGCTCAGCCTTTAACCTCCCCTCCCCTCCTTGAGGTTATGTCATAATTGTTGTCAGAAAGGGTCCCAGTGCAATGAAATATATAAATCTCTGCCTTGGATCTTCTAAACCTGACCCGCATGATAACACGGGCCATTAAAATTCACCAAGTTCCCCCTACATTGAGCCCAAGGACTAGTTAGATTAAACTGTTGTAAGCCACAGGCTGAGAACAGGAGAGATTCAAAGTGCCACCAATGCGCGAAGTCCCTGTTGTGGCAGGGAACGGATTAAGTGAGGTACACCCAGATGATCCTAGCCCCAATCTATTGTGGAGAAGGGTTTTTTTTCCCAACTCCTGGAGGGAAGAGGGAACTTCTCTGCCCAGTGGTCAATTAAGGGCCCTAAAACCAGCGCTGCTGGTGCATAACTCAAGAGAATGTGGCAGTTAATGTGGAATGGAGATGGAGCCTAACGCCCCCCTTCCACAATTTGGATTGACATGCCACAAATTATTTATGTCATAAAACAGACATGGACCACAATTGAACCTCCTTGAAACTCCAGTAGCCGTAGGATGGAGGGTTTAATTCATATCCCAGTATCGAAACCCATCTCTACTATTGTGTTTCCAGAGGAAAGCCAGCTGACATTTTGTGATCCCACAAGTTCTCCACCATCAGATATAAACGACATCCATCCTAAATCCAGGATCAACAAGGATTAAAATACTACCTCCCAGGGTGGCCCATCACTCATCAGAAATGGTGAATTAGGAAACAGAGGCCATAAAAATTGTATTCTTTACCATAAAGTAGTCAGTCCTACAGAGACAAAAGTCTCCTGCACCATCAAATATTCTTCTGTTCGTTATGCCTATTCTTCTGCCATTGATATCAACAGAAGTTTTGCTCTGGATTTCACTGGTGATAGGATCAGGTTCTTTGAGTCATTATCCTTCACGCTCAGCTCTACCCAGACTGAGGAGTTCAATCCCAAATATTTAGGGCTCTGTAATTAGTTTTACATATGTACACAAGAGTTCAGGGCACTGCTGGAACAGCAGAATACCCTATTAGCAAAAACCCTGGTCCCTTTAAAACTTTGTACAAACAGCTGCTGACTAAGAGATTCCTCAGTGGAAATCTCACACATTACACCTTGCTAAACATGCCATGTGGGATCAACTGCAGCCTCACGCTCTCCAATAGCCAGCACCTGTTCCCTTTTTTCAGGGCATCACTTTTACCTACTTATCAAGCTACAAATGCTCAGTCAAATACCTTGTGTTCTTCCTTCATCACCTGTTCAATAAGCTCAGATTTCATTGGTGGTTTAGAGTACTGGCCCGAAAGGAGGCCATGTCCTAATTTAGTAAAAACAAAAAGAAAGACAAAGATTTTCCTGCAGATTTGGAGAAGAGAATCTGACAGTAACTTTTACTCCTCAAAATCTCTTTGCTATTCATAATTAGTTAAGCTGGAACATATATCTACCCATCCTCCTCCCCTGTCCTCCCCAAGCCCATCAAGATGCTCTCCTCAATTAGTTAGGCTGGAACATATAGCTACCCATCCTCCTCCTTTGTCCTCCCCAAGCCCATCAAGATGCTCTCCTGCTACTTACAGCTATTTTACCATAGCATCCTGGCTGCCGAATTATTCTGATTCTATTTGGCTTAATAGTAGGAACCTGGCACTTACATCTGTGTGTTGAAATCTTGTGTTGGATCTAGAGGGGAGTAGTCGAATATTCTCGGAAGATTTCCCACATACCTGGGCAGCGAGAACAAAGGAGAAATGGTCAAAAATTACATGTAGCTTTGCCTGGGTCCTATGCTAAAATGCCTGGATACCCTAGGAGGTTGTTCTGCAGAGATACTAAAGCAAGCTTAATATCTAGGGACAGTTCCATATTGACAAGCACAATGCAAACAAACCACCCCCCACTGCTTGTTTCAGTAATTCACACATGAACAATATTAAAAAACAAGTAGAAATTTACATTTTGCAATAGAAGCTCCTTGCTGGGGGAAAAAGATGGATCAATGGTTCGGGGCCTGGGACTTGAGAGACATAGAGTCCATTCCCTGCTCTGCCACTGACCTCCTGTGTGACACCTTGAGAGAGTCACTTAGTCTCTTTGTAGCTCAGGTCTCTATCTGTAAAATGGGGATTGTTACATTGCACTACGTCATAAGGTGCTGTGAGGATACATACATTAAAGTTTATGAGGCATTCAGATTAGGGATGTTAAATATCGGTTAACTGAATAATCAATTAACCTCATGAATTCTTATCGGCTACTCGACTATTCCATATGGTGTCCCTCGCCTCTGTTTCTCTGGAGATGGGTGACAGGGGAGGGATTACACGAGGATTACCTGTTATGTTCCCTCCCTTTGGGGCATCTGGTATTGGCCACTGTTGGCACAGAGAACACTGGGCTAGATGGACCTTTGGTTTGATCTAGTTTGTTCTTCTTATGTCCCTGGGGGCGAGGTCAGCAGCCAGTGAGCTCCGGCCCCACTACCAAGGAGCCCACTGCCATTCCACACTGCTGCCTCTGTATCAGGGCAGCAGCGTCGAGTGGAAGGCGGGAGCTAGTCCGCGAAGGGAGTAAGTTTAAAAACTAGCTCCCCTGGCAGACCGGCTGCCTGTTGCCCCATGCTGCTGCCTCGGATACAGAGGCAGCAGCATGAGGTGGCAGCAGTCCTTGTCCAGGGATGGGCTGAGCTCCTGAACCTGGCATGATACAGAACTGAGCCAGGCTGCCTGCCCACCTGGCTCCTAATACACTTTAAATGCAGAACGGCAGCGGGGGGAGGTCCCGGACCCGGCATGAGCCAGGACTGAGCCAGACTGCTAAAAAACGTACTGCTAAAAAACGGGGAGGAGGGGAGGGTATGTGTAGTCTATTACTGACGGGGAGGAGGGGAGGGTATGTGTAGTCTATAGCATTAACTGATAAGCTTTTGCTTATCGGTTAATCAACTACACTATTACATCCCTAATTCAGATACAGAGATAGGAGCCGAATAAGCACCATGGATAGGTAGACAGCAAACTTAAGAAGAGTAGAACTTACCCTCATAAGAGCACTGCACGGACACACACTAATTAAGCCTTACAACATCTCTAGGAGATAAGTAACCTCAATGAGACGGTGAACCATGCTCTACACGAGGGCATTATTTTGAAATAATTAGCAGAGCTCCATACTACCAAGCCTGTTATTTCAAAACAGGCTGGTTATTTCGAAATCTGTACGCCTGTTTTCTTTGGGGAATAACACTATTTCAATGTTGTTATTTTGGGAGTTACTTCAAATTCAGTTATTTCGAAATAATTTCCTAATGTAGAAATGCCCTAAAAGTGATTTGCCCAAGTACACAGAGTCAGGATTAGAACTAATGAGTTCCTAGCTCCTAATTAATGGCTCTTTAACCGAATTCTGAATATAATACAAATGGTAAGGTTTGCAGTCTGAAGACAAATTTCTGATGCCCAGTTTCAAACAGAGACAGACAGACACTAATTTGTGCCTTTTCAACAAGCACTGAAGGGTATGTTAGTCTATTCAGTGTTGCTGCAGCATGCAGTTTTCATCAGAGTGCCACAAAGATCTGCCATGTAGTTAGGGCCACATTGAAGGAAAATGGCCAAGTTATGCCTGATACATCTTTACTATCTCAGTGATGCCAAACACTCCAGACAGGTTCAAATATCATGCTACTGAAAGCAGCCACATGTGGCAAAGTCCATTTGAAGCACAAGGGTCCTATAGTGAAGGAGTTAATGAATTTGCAGACAGCACTCCATATGGCTGAGTAACGTCACGAAAACAAATTCGGCATTTCCCCCGCCTTCTTTTCCAGAAGGCAAGTGTTACCTGAAAATCTAAGAAGATGTCCCAAGATCTGGGAGCATCACTTTCAAGACATACACTACTCCTTTGGGATATAAAAGGACACTCTGAGTTTTATCGTGAGCTATGCACAATTCTCCACAAACAATTATAAGCAGCTGTTCACCTGGGAGTGCTAAGTGTTCAACTGTCAAGAAAACCTCCGAGATGTAAAATAAGAAAAAAAGAACTATTAAAAAAGCTGAAAACAGCAGCTTTTGTTTCTCACTCAGCAGAGGAAAATGACTAAACAACCAACCCATTTGCAAGGCTGAAATTTTTAACGAGAAACAAATTTGGCTGGTAAAAGATGTATCTATCTTTCAAGCCAGGGCTATACACAAAAGTTATACTGGTTTAACTATGGCATAGTAACACTGGTACAATATCCCAACTGTGGACACAGTGATACTAGTGTATATGTGCTTACATGTGCTTAAATGTGTATAACTTGTTCCCATGCAGGAAAGGGAGTAATACAAATAATACACCTTTTAGACTGATGCAACTGTTTTCATACTAGGGGTTTTACTGATATAACTTTAATGGGTGACAAAAAAAATCACATGCTTAACAGTCATGCTCATGTAGCTCTACAGAAGAAGGATGGTCCTGGGGAGCGTTCCCAGTAAGCTGTGAACTTGTGCAACCCTCTAGGAGAGAGTCAGATGCCGCCCATCTGATTAGCAGAGTGCTCACAGCTAGGTTTGTGTTTCTACTGGGGGTGTACATATGCACATGCCTCAGTGCACATCAAAATGTATTCCGCACATAGATGGAAAAGTTTAGTGAACATTAGTCCTGTGGTTAACACACTAGCATAGGATTTAGGAGACCAAGATTTAATTCCCTGCTTTGCCACAAACTTCCTCTGTGATCTTGAGCAAGTCGCTTAGTTCAGGAAAATCTTGTGTCTAAGCTCCCTCTCAGTAAAATGGGGATAATAGCACTTCCTTACCTCAAAAAGGTGTTGACAACATGAACACAATAAAATGGTAAAGCACTTTGGTAGTAGGCAGATGGGGCCCATAAAAGTACCACAGACAAGCAATGCCACTACAGAAATTGTGTGCAGACCAGGCGGAAGTTTATGAGCTAGAGACCAAACCTGCATCAATAAAGTCAAATGGGATATTGACTTCAAAAGCAGGAGGTCTGGACCTCCTCCCTTGTCTGCAAACACTCTCTGTCAGGCCACTGAATTGGCTGGAAGACAGCTGTTTGCAATAAGAGTTAGAAACTGAAATACTATGTGGATTGTATAAATAATAGATGTGTGACATCGGAGTCTGCGCAAAGCACTGCAGAGAATTACTTACGCTCGCTGAAACTCTGGGATGCTGAAAACGGCCTGCATGACAGTGCTGAGGTAGCAGCTATTTCCCAGGTTCTTCATGCCAGTGTATCCTGGGCCATACATGGGCTTTAGCTTCACGCCAGACTCCTGAATCACTTCCCACTCAGAGACTCTTGGTTTTATGTCATTATCTCTTAGGCCGTTCTCTGTCTGAATGCAAAGGAGTTTGGTTTTGGTTTCTTTTTGAAATAGATCTACAATTATGATGCATTAATTATAAATGGGCATAGCTGTCCATGTTGTAAAATGGAAGAACCTAACAAACTGAAAAAAAAAAAAGTTCCAACCCAAGGGAAGAAAGTTCTCAAACTGAAAGGAAAAAAGTTCCAACCCAAGGGAAGAAAGTTCAGAATGAAAACCCCAACAGCTTCTTGCTATTGCAATATACTAAGTATGTGTGATCATCTCTTCTGCTAGCTAGATGCTGGTCTCCAGGAACACAGCTGCCTGCTACTCAGTTGCCGCTAAAAGTGCTCCTTTAGCTCAAGTGAGAGAGACATCAGTTGTTGGTACACTCACAGCTCGAGTGTATCTTCATTTGTAGCCACCATTCACAACACCATTATTTATTATTATCAGCAGATCACTAGTGTGTTGGGCATTTTACTGGCAGCTCTGAAAGCAAGGAGTGAAATTTTGAACCGATTAAATGGGAGTTTTGTCACTGGGTGAAATCCAGGTCTCACTGAAGTAAAAATGTTCATGCCTCCTCAATAAAATAAGCATTTTCCATCACTAAAAGTGAATGCTGTTTAAAATAAACTAGTTTCCGCACCAATATTATCATATTTGGATAAATAAAACAAAGAATCTTTTAAAAGTTAAATTATTTGTCCATTTTCCTGTTTCCTTTCTCTCCCAACTCAGGCAATAAAAACGGATGAACAAAAATGAAGCTGACTAGTCAACCTCAGACCCATTTCATTTTCAGGTTTTCATGAACTAGTATGAGACTGCAATGTTCAGTTTGCATCATCATCATCATCATCCCACTTACCTCTTATATGTCACTTTTCATTCATAGAGTTTGAAGTGTTTTAAAAATTAGTTAGGTATCATTATACCCCTTTTACAGATGGGGGAAAGTGAGACACAGAGAAGGGGACTGACTTGCCCAAGGTCACCCAGAAGGTCAATAACAAAGCCAGGAATAACAGTTCTCCCTAGTCCCTATCCAGTGCGATGTCCTTTAGGCTGCACTGCCTCCAAGGCTGAAGGGAAATATATAGATCTTATAAATAGCCAGTTTCAACTGGGATTCTTTCCATATTTCTTGGAAACATGTCTCTTGGTCTTAGGTTTTCAACTGTTATTGGTAACAAAACATAAATTTGGGCAAATTTGACCCAACTGTCCCCTTAATTATCTTTTTATTTCGTTGTGAGCTACTTGCTTCAATTATCTTTGGTAGATTTCGACTTTTTATTCTTATATGTGCATGTGCAACGGGGTTTTTTTTATTTGTGAAGTAAAAAAAAATTACTTATAATTAAAAATGCTCTGTATTCCTCTCTCTCTATTATTGGCTGCAGATCCAAGTCAGAAGTACTGTGTAGTACAGCATGGTCACATTAGCATGGCTGAGAAGCCTATGTCCAGCAATGGTGAACACATATAAAATGGGAAATTACAGTCTAGGAAGGAATATAGCAGTGAAGGATCGGGGGTCATAGTGGATCCCAGGCTAAATATGAGTCAACAGTGTAGCACTGTTGCAAAAAAAAGCAAACATCATTCTGGGACATTTTAGCAGAAGTGCTACAAGCAAGACACAAGGAGTAATTCTTCCCCTCTACTCTGGGCTGATTAGGCCTCCACTGGAGCATTGTGCCCAGTTCTAGGTGCCACATTTCAGGAAAGAATAGACAAACTAGAGAAAATCCATAGAAAAGCAACAGAAATAATTAGAGCTCTAGAAAATGTGACCTATGATAGAAGATTGAAAAAATTGGAATTGTTTCATCTGGAGGAGAGAAGACCAAGAGGGGACAGGAGAACAGTTTTCAAATACATAAACAATTGTTTAAAGGAGGTGGGAGAAAAATTGTTGTCCTTAATGTCTGAGGATGGGATGAGAAGCAATGGGCTTAAATTGCAGCAAGGGCAGTTAAAGTTAGCCATTAGTGAAAACTTCCTAATTGTCAAGGTCGTTAAACACTGAAACAAATTGCCTAGGGAGATTGTGGAAGCTCCATAACTGGAGATTTTTAATAGAAGGATAGACAAAAACCTATCAGAGATGATCTAGACAATACTTAGTCCTGCTGTGAGAGCAGGGGACCGGACTAGATGAATTCTCAAGGTCCTTTCCAGGCTAGGGATGTGAAAGGTTAACCAATTAACCAGTGGGGGCTGGAGCAGCTCCCTGCCTGCTGAGGGTGGGTGCACTGCTCCAGCCCCACAGATAGTCCATCATGGACAGGGGCTGCAGGTTCTGGGAGCCAGAGCTGGTGGCAGCCCCAACCCTCACACAGGGCTGGGAACCGGCAGCCAGTCCCAATACAGGGCTGGGGGCTGCTCCAGGTGGGTTGAAGCGATTCCCATCCAGGGATCCCCACTTTAGTTGGTTAACCGGTTAAACATTAGGTCAACCTAACATTTAACCGATTATTAACTGACTCACCAGGATTTTACATCCTTACTCCAGTCCTACAATTCTATGGACATGTTGGCACGGCTGAGAGACCCAGGCGCTACAACTGAAACCCTTAGTTCAAATGCAGGCTTGGGAACACTGAGTCCCCGTACCTGAATTGCACAGACCAAGGTTAACAATGCAGTGTACATATACCCATACTGATTTAGAGCCCAGAGAACCACATATACTAACTTATAGTGTTCTTCACCAACTTAAACATGGCCATTAAAAACTCAAGCAGTTAGCTTGAGTTAGCTTTATTTTCCACTGATAAATTATTTTGTCCTACCTTGAAATATGTGAGAGGCTCTAAATAAAAGATGAGTTTCCTACCACATGCATCTGGAGCATATCAATTCCAAAGTGCGCCAAGTGTTTTGCTATATGTGGATCTAAAACTGCCTCCTCTTCATCAAAAGAATAGACATCTACAAAACAGAAAGAAGCAAATGTGATGATGCACAGAACGTTACCTGTTGGCTTTATTTAGAAATGGGAACAAAACATTCTAAGAATAGTACCACCTGTGCAGACTGCATTATTGATAGTACCATCGTATGACCTGCAAAAGTATATACAGAGTTATACATTTGGAAGGTATTTTACCCTCCACAATACAATCATCTTATTAAGTGTTCTTAAATCAGAATTTATATTTTCACAGAATTTAAAGTTTCCTAATTGAAAAAAAATTACTGTCATTTCAAAATAAAAGTAATGCAAACATATGGGGATGTGGGGCTAAATGCAAAAAGCAAAAGCATACACAAATATCAGTTATGCAGCAAGTCTACATTTTCAGCATGGAGATTATCTTCAAATTGTGTGATCATTGAAACTCTGTGAAACTGTATATATGCATGTGCAGACATTAAATACAGATGAAGGCATTAGAACTCTGGACGTAAACAGAGCTGACTGACTCCTAATGATATTACATCAGTCATCAGTTGCTGCTAAAGGCACAAGGAGAAAATTTTTGCCCTCGTTCCTGTTGAGATGCAGAAATGATCGAGGCGCACAGAGAAATCCATCCAATGACAAACAAGGTTAACTGTTTTATTAATAACCTAGGAGGGTCTCGGAAAATTACCATTGATACTTGATAAAGGAAAGTAAATTCAAATCCCGGGCTTCATTTGCAACTCCGGTTGACTGCATTACCACCCTAGTTTGAACTAGGGTGGTAGTGTAGACATACCCTTACATACATCCTGGTTTAGTGAGACCTACATTTCTGAACTGTGTGCCAACAGAATTCCTATCCTTAACTGCAGAGATCACATCTGGTTCATAAAATTTGTAACACATAAATCTATACCAATCTCCTATAACAGGTCCTTCCAACCTGCATTTCTGGGGTTATTGCCATTTCCCGGGGGAGGTCAGCTTTCAGACTGAAAGGACACACCTCAGGTATGCTATGCGATTATGGAAAGTCAGATTCATATAAACCCATATGCCACACTGGTGACAGTATCATGAGCCTTATCACAAGACTATGTTCATTCTCAAAAAAAATGGCTTGCAAGACACTGGTGTGAGAATGTGTAACAGAGAAATCGCATTTAAAATGCCAAAACGTGCTTTTTACACACATGGCAAGCAATCTTCATTTTACTTGCAGGGAGAATATTGGTTTTAATGTATAAAGATCCATCATCAAACCCTCTAAAGAACTGCTCACCAATGACTAAACCTCGACTGAATAGGATAACTACTAAAAATCTAGTGTAAACACTAGACCAAGAGTCCTTGATCAGACAAAACTTGAGAGGTGAGACATAGGTTCAAATTCCTGCTCTGCCACAGACGGGCCTGTGTGAGCTTGGGCAAGAATCACAAACTCTCTAGGTCTTGGGCCTATCTACACAGGGAAGTTTTATTAGTTAACTTGATTTACTTCTGCAGATATCACTTACACCATAGACATTTATGCTGGAATAAAAGTTATTCTGATGTAACAATATTGGTTTAAATTCAGATTTTAGCACATACCGATATAACTGTCCCATGTAAACAAGTCTCATTTCCCTAACAACAATCAGGTACATTACAGACCCCATTTCCGCAGTATATAAAGATAGAGAGCCCCGGACACTTTGTCTTGCTAGAAACTGTTTGGTCTTCCTGATCTCTGAACAGGATTTCACAGGAACCTCTTTTGCTGATCCTCTGGCCCCATACAAAAACAGGTGCAGCAGGGAAATCCATGGCCTGGGCTTGCTACCCTGGGTCACATGGGCTTGAGTCTGCCCTGGAAGCGTGAGAAAACTGTGATCATTTGTTATTTCAGGGCAGAACTCAAGCTGATGGGGGAAGCACTGTTTCTGCAGTGACAATATTTTCCCAAGGAAATGTAGTTTAATAAATCTGAGGAGAGGACAGAAAGGAAGGGGAGGGTCCATTGTTCAGTATTTACCAGGCAAGTCCCATTATACAGTTCAATCCAGTTTAGATTTTGTTTTTCTGAACAAGTAAATGGTGTTTGTGGCCCTTATGTTGTGAAGGACACACTGAGGAGAGACACTTCAGGTAGCAGCTCCCGTATCATCTCTCTCTCCTGCCCCAAGCAAGAGACCTATTTACCATCTCCTGAGCTCTCCTCAGAACCTGACAGGACCCACTATGGTTCCCTGGCCCTTCTTTACACCCAACCACCAAAATACTCCCTGCCCCCACTGACATCCCTCCTGCTGTCTGCCCACCTCCCTGCACTTCTCCATGCCAGACTACCTACAGTGACTACTCTCCCACCCCCTCTTGCCAGGTTCCTGCCTGACAGAGGGGCAGGAACCAGCAGCAAAGAGAGCGAGAGCTCCTATTAGATGCACAGTTTAGGGGGGACGCAAGGGATATGCAAACAGAAGGGAAGGAAGTTCATGAGAGGTGTGCCCCTTCCCAAGAGTCCTCAGCTTGCCCCATCTCCTAGCATCTAGAGATCTTTTTCCTTCCTCAGCAAAGAGTCACCTAGCAACTTGAATGAAACCTTAGCAACTGGTCAGTCTCCCAAGAGCATAGATACCTGGGACCTGGTTTAGTGCTGACCTCGTTGCAACTTTTTCCTTCATGCGGAGGACGAGCAAGTATCCTAAGAGTTAATGCAGTTTTTAAAAGGGGCTAGTCACATTATTGGCCTGTAAAAAATTAAGCCTCTTGGAGCCAGGGCATGGCCCTTCAGTTACGCTGACTGATTAGCCCAGCAATCCCGCTGTTGGCATTAGTCATGGGTGACCCTGCTGGTATTTGTGTGGCTATAGCATGTCCCTCAGCCGGAATTCCATTGTGAGAGTGTTTGCGTACTAGAAGACATTATGGTTTCATCCCTATACAGAGGCTCACGACAGTCCCATATTCTTATGGTGCGTCATGATCAGTCAAACAGACTGCAAAATTCAGAATGCTTCTCGGGGTGAAATTACACACATAGAGCTAGGGTGATTGCCTTTATCAACATGGAAGCTGGGAGTTTATTTTCCCTACTTCAGACCATTTTTTGTGTTCGACAGAGAGCAAGCGTCGTTACCTGAAACCACAAATCAACAGAATAGTAGAAAGGGAATGAGGATACGTGAGCCATTAATCTTTGCTCAAGCCCAGCTCTTGTTTCATGGGTTTCAACACCTTCAACTGTTCAGCTAATATCACAGTGACTTTTAGAGAAGTCAGAAAGAAGAGGAGAGGGAAGGAATTCACTTACTTAACACTGAGAGCAGCAAATCTCAGAATGGGGAGAAGACAGCCCCTGTGGCCACGTCTGACACATACTGATATAGTAGATCACACTTGATTCAGAATATAGATAGGTCAGAAAATAAATAATGGTGGCAAGGAAAAGTGAGTCCTAGAGCAGTGGAATATGGTGGAGGGGAGCAGGAGAAAAGATACCCTGATGATGCCCAACAGAATCAGCAAATGAGAACAATTTGGGGGAGGGGGAGATAATTAAAGGGAAGCAAAAGTTGAGGTGCTTGCAGGAAGAAATGGAAATATGAACACTGTGTGGAATGCCCAATCTCCCTTTTTGTTGGAACCGTAAGTTCCGGTGCTTTACTTAGCTGCAGGTGCAACACTCTGCTCCATGGTAAAGTGTAAGAGATGCAGGGTGCTGAACTCTGACCCTAGAGAGGTGGCGGCATAAGATGACTCTAGCTGTCTGTCATGCAGCTGTCTAACGTAAAGATTCATAATCTGTGACTATTCAAAACAGGGCATGCTACTTTCAACCATTCCCACCTCTAGCCCTGCAGCCCATTAAAAAGATACGGTAGCAAAGTGGAGAAAAATGGGACACAGCTATGTTGTCATGAGAGCTGAAGGAGGTGGCAGAATCTGTCCCACAGTACCGGAGTCTGAAAGGCATAGCCAAAGAGGGATTTGGGAAGATGTTGAATGTGAGGCCCGGGCTGGGAGTCAGAAGACTTGGGTTCAGTTCCTAGCTCAGCCACTGATCTGCCATCGGGCCGTGGAGTGAGATGATGCCACCTGCTGCCATGGGTGTCTCAGGCAAACCACTGCCATTTGTACAGTGCTTTGAAATCCCCAGCAGACAGTGTGGGTGCAGCTTTGAGACCTCCACACAGCAGAAGAACAACAGGGTGCAAAGATCTCCCATACTCCCCTGCCTGCATCATTGGAGCCTATAGGAAAGAGGGAAGGAACCAACTCTGGGCTAGTTCTCTCATCCTGGGGAGGTAGGCAGGGAGTCACCTGAGCCTTAGCACCCCTGAATTGCAGAGGGGAAGCGATCAGTGCCAGTAAAAGCACGGATACAGATTACACTCTCCCTGGAACAAGACAGGGCAATGTGACTAAATACTGCCCCTCACACAGGCTGGATTCTAGGGTTACAGTCCAGTCCTACAGAAAGGATTACATTTATCATTGTCATTTGGGTATAAAATGTTTTATTTCTAAGAAAGCAAGTAGGGAAGGAGAAAATCTTTTTCTGAAGAGAAGCAGTTGACTTCAGACAAAATAGGAACAAAGACCCATGCAGAACAGCTGCTGCTTCTCGTTCCGAGAGGAAGGATGACAGCCTGCCCTTTGTTACCAGAGAGGTGACAGAGAAGCAGTGGTTGTGAAGGCAAAGGCGGAAGAAAAATAGCAACAGGAAAGTAACATTGTTGCTTAAAGAGCACCTGGCATCCAGTGAGTATTTTGCAGGCACAGCAGAATCCTGCTATGGAGATAGGTTAAGACTAACCTCTACGCTGATGTTATTAGAAACACTGAACTTCTGAGATCAGACAGGCACAAAGAAGCCAACTCCATTTGCGAATCAAGGGAGTGAATTCTTACTAGGCATTCTAATGCAACAGCAGGTTGAATCAGGCTCTCCCATGAGCTGTAGTGTCCTTTTCCTGCAGCTCAGTGGTATTCAAACTTGGGACATTCTTCTCTCCTCCGATGGAATCAAGGAAAAACTGATCATTTAAATACAGGCAGTCCCCGAGTTACGCGGATCCGACTTATGTCGGATCCGCAGTTACAAACGGGGCCGTTCCTCTCCCTGGTCTCCCGCAGACCAGGGAGAGGAAGCTGGCAGCGCGCTCCGCAGCTTGGCTCTGCTTTGCCCCCGCCCCCCCCCCCGTCCCCCTGGGCTGCAGACCCAGGGGGGGGGGGGAAAAGCAGAGCAAAGCCGCGGAGTGCGTGGTCAGCTGACAGCCCAGACGCGCCGGGGCTGTCCGCTGCCCGCATGCTCCGCGGCTTTGCTCTGCTTTGCTCCCCGTCCCCCTGGTCTGCAGACCAGGGGGACGGGGGGGGGCAAAGCAGAGCCAAGCTGCGGAGCGCGCTGCCAGCTGACAGACCAGGGAGAGGAAGCTGGCAGCGCGCTCCGCAGCTTGGCTCTGCTTTGCCCCCGCCCCCCCCCCCGTCCCCCTGGGCTGCAGACCCAGGGGGGGGGGGGAAAAGCAGAGCAAAGCCGCGGAGTGCGTGGTCAGCTGACAGCCCAGACGCGCCGGGGCTGTCCGCTGCCCGCATGCTCCGCGGCTTTGCTCTGCTTTGCTCCCCGTCCCCCTGGTCTGCAGACCAGGGGGACGGGGGGGGGCAAAGCAGAGCCAAGCTGCGGAGCGCGCTGCCAGCTGACAGACCAGGGAGAGGAAGCTGGCAGCGCGCTCCGCAGCTTGGCTCTGCTTTGCCCCCGCCCCCCCCCCCGTCCCCCTGGGCTGCAGACCCAGGGGGGGGGGGGAAAAGCAGAGCAAAGCCGCGGAGTGCGTGGTCAGCTGACAGCCCAGACGCGCCGGGGCTGTCCGCTGCCCGCATGCTCCGCGGCTTTGCTCTGCTTTGCTCCCCGTCCCCCTGGTCTGCAGACCAGGGGGACGGGGGGGGGCAAAGCAGAGCCAAGCTGCGGAGCGCGCTGCCAGCTGACAGACCAGGGAGAGGAAGCTGGCAGCGCGCTCCGCAGCTTGGCTCTGCTTTGCCCCCGCCCCCCCCCCCGTCCCCCTGGGCTGCAGACCCAGGGGGGGGGGGGAAAAGCAGAGCAAAGCCGCGGAGTGCGTGGTCAGCTGACAGCCCAGACGCGCCGGGGCTGTCCGCTGCCCGCATGCTCCGCGGCTTTGCTCTGCTTTGCTCCCCGTCCCCCTGGTCTGCAGACCAGGGGGACGGGGGGGGGCAAAGCAGAGCCAAGCTGCGGAGCGCGCTGCCAGCTGACAGACCAGGGAGAGGAACGGCCCCGTTTGTAACTGCGGATCCGACATAAGTCGGATCCGCGTAACTCGGGGACTGCCTGTATAAGGTAAAATGTCTTACAACCAAGTCCTCACTTATTTGCATCAGCAAGGGGCAAATACATAAGCTGCATCAGGAAACGGTTTTTGGAAAGTCATTTTTCATTCATATAACCATGAGCACTAAAACACAAATTCTAGTGCGTATTATTTGTTCACACTTCCTCAATAGCTGTATGAAAACAGAATCTCTTTGCTTACAAATTTTGGTTCCTCATGCTTCTATACTGCCTAATCGCCACAGTCCAGAATCCTCTCCACAGCCACACAGTGAAATGTAAAGCAGAGGCTACTTGGACACCACCACTTACATAGTTCCTTTCCTGTGAGGATCTTGATGCACTTTACAAACATCACATCAGGCCTGAGGGCTATATCAGTATTTGTTAGTAGGAATAAAAATGTATGAATTCAATAGAGGAATCACCGGACAAAGTTCTGTTTATTCAGTTAGGCACGGGTCAGACTGATGAGCATAATGGTTCCTTCTGACCTTATAATCTACAGATTGAACCTCTCTAGTCTGGCACACTCTGGTCCAGCAACATCCATAGTCTGGCATGATTTTGGTTAGCTGGATATCCACTTATCATGGGTATGGCCAAGTTTCCCACGGTCCCATAAAGTTTGTGTACCAGCCCTGGCGCTCAGTGTTCTGTGCTGTTATTTAGCTCTAATTTACCCCGAAATGTCTTCTAAAAGGCCAGTAAGCAGTGGAAGTGTCTGTAAAGGTATGTCTAGACAGCGGCACTATTTCAGGATACTTCCAGTATCCCAAAATAGCTATTCCACATCTTTTAAACAAGCCTGTTATTTCAAAATATAACAGGCTCACTATTCCAATATCCCTGTAAACCTTGTTCCACAAGGATCAAGGGATATTTTGGAATAGCAGTTTATTTCAAAATTAACTCCAAATAAGCTACACAATTTAGCTTATTATTTAGCAATTTAGCAATAATAATATTTAGCGATTATTGACCTACGTTGGTTTGGCAGATTCTCTGGTTTGGCACCAGTCAGGTCCCACAGGTGCCAGACAAGAGAGGCTCAACCTGTAGTAAAATGCTAAAGAAAGATCCTATTTTCATTGTTTCCACAGCAGTAAAAATACAGCTAAGAAATGCAAGAAGAAATGCTGCAAAACCAGAATTTTTTTCCAAAACAGAAATTTTACCAAGGTTCACAGATTCTTAGGTTTTCCTTTTCATTTCAGACAATCCAGGTTTCCAGCATACTTAAATCATATGTATTATAAATCATTCCTGCATCTTAATGAGGTGCATTTACTAAGTTATACAATTTTTAAGGAACGGTAAAAAAAATTGTTCCTTAAATCTACTGCTATCCAGTATAGAAAAATTATATAGCAATACACTGTGTTCCTTTCATTCTTCAAGAGCGTATTTTCTTCTTCCCCAATACACACATATTTGAGTCTCAATTTAGTATGGATACGATACTAGGATATTTCCTACCCACATTTAGAATATATACAGGCTCTAAAGCATAAAGAGGCAAAGCCACACACCAACATAGATATGTGGGAACACATATCTATCCCATACATCGTAGGTCTGGTCCAATTTACATAAACTAACAGCTGAGCTAACGCTTTCTGTCAAGAAACAGAGGCACAGAAAAGGAATCAGGCATGGAAATCAGCTCTACATAAGATGTGGCTATTCCAGCTTGTGTAAATTGGTGATGCACCAATAATGCTATGCAGATTTACTCCAGTTGAGGACCTACCTCATGAAATCTGCATCTCTCACAGCTGCTCCAACATGTGCCATGTGTGCAGAGGTTTGTTAATCAATACAGTTGTTCTGAGCGATAAGAGGCTGTGATGTATGTTGTATATTTTGTTTTCTTTGCAAGCCGAAATCACCTGACAACTAACCTGCACCATCGGGAGTGATGGTTCCGAGCTTCACGGCTAAGGGATAGCCCATTTCTCTGTAGTGTTCCAAGGCATGTCCGTTTCCCCCACTGCCATCAAAGAACCATTTTCCACACAGCACCGAGCCGTCCGTCAGGTTCAGCCAGAGGTTCTCCCGCAGGTCACACTTTGCGCACTTCCAGCCACTGCCAAGCAGAGGGTTGAAAGCAGTGTCAAAGAAAGAGATCAGCGCTGGAACCCCAAATGCTGATGTTTGAGTCCATGAACAAAAGCCCATGGGAGTACAAGGGAGTCTCATGGCTGGGTCATTGGGCATAGGACCAGCTCCTTGAGTTGCCCCCATGAACCTCAAGTGCCACAACCCATGGGCGGCTCCTGCAACGAGCCTTTTTCTGAAGCGCGCTGCTCATCATACAACAAATAAACCCTGGTGTCCTACCTCGGGGGAATCCTAATACCATTGTCCATCTGTACAAGTGTTTTGGCATGTTTGGATACTTGTAGCTCTTCTTCCCAGGAGTCCGGGTCCTGCTTTCGGTAGGGAGATTTTGAAGTGAGGACTGCATCACAGGCTATTGTTACCTGTAAAAAGAAGCCAAATAAAGCAGCAGAATTAACCCCTCTGACAGCTCTGATAAGGCAAAACTAAAAAACTTCTCTCAAGGGGGTGCTATGTACCATTGGATGTCATGGGGAAATGGGTTCCCAGCTGCCTTTTGTACCTTTGAAAGTCTCCCCCTTTGTAAATAAACTTCCTTCACGTTCTCAAACCAGTAAACAGACCAAGGCACAACCTCAGTTATACCTGTGCAGTAAAGGCAGGAAGGACTGAAGGCAGAATCTAGCGTGGGTAGGACTGAAGGCAGAATCCAGACTTCTACATGCTGACTCAAAAAATGTCATTTGGAAAAATAAGCAAAAGTTTCCTTTAGTTTCCAAGGGGGAAAATACTGATGGTTCTGAGTGGGCCATTGTTGGGATGGGACTAAATGCTAGCTGGCTACTGGAGTTGGAAGGAAAAAAAGCTAAAGGAATTTGAAGTCAAGATTTATGGCCAATTCAAGTACAGTAAACCTCCAGTGGTCCGGCATCCAATGGGCCGGCACTATCTGGAACCCAGAAGTGCTCCAGGCAGCCAGACAATTGGAGCTGCTCTGCCCCCGGGTTCCCCAATTCAGCCGCTGCTGAAACTGACCAGCGGCTGACACAGGGAAGCCATGGGCAGAGCAGCTGTGGTGCTGCCGGGTTGGTCCCATAGTGCCGAGGGGCGCATCCCCCCCACTCGACCTCAGACCCCTTATAGTCCCCCCTCCTGATGGTCCGGCATGTTTGATAATCCAGCACCCCCCTGGGTCCTAAAGGTGCTGGATTATCGAAAGTTTACTGTATATGGAAAGAATTAAGGATCTGAATCAGCAAGATATTTTAGCACATGTATAAGATGACGTCAACATGCACACAAGTTCTTTGCTGAATGAAAGCCATAAACATCAGAACTATAGCAAGGCAGGGACCATAACAAAATATGCTGCTTTAAAAACAAATAGCATGTTTTCCTTGAATTGTCTTAAAACAGGACTTTTTTTACACTATTTAAACTAGCTTAGGTGTTTGCAAGCTATCAACTCTTACCCTGTATACACAATATACCTATGTAGTGTGGGTTTTTTAATGAGTCTACATTGCATATCTTTTACCTGTAACTCCACGTGTTTCTCTGCAAAGACACACTATGAAATAGGTTAGAGCCCAAAAGCAGATTGTGTACCCTTTTCATGTTAAACACTCTAATATCAAGAGAAATGCTTTTACATTTTGCTTTTTTATTTTCAGACCAGTTTGCTTGGATTTTAAACATTTTCATATAGAGTTTATAATCCAACTATTGCAGCAGCATTGTGATAACTTAAAGGAACCAGAAAGTGAAACTCACAAGTATGTTTTCGTCGGCCCAGCACAGAAGTATACAAACAACCAACAGCATCAACTTGGAAGTTTAACTTAAATTATTATAACTGAAAGAACACCTAATACACTAGCTAAGGAATTATTATCAATAAGTGCGTTTTTTAAATAAATATTTAATGTTTTGCCTTAGGCAACCCTGGAGCTAAACTAATGAAACAGATTGTCTTCTAATCTGTGTGTTACATTCTTAGGCTTCAATCCAATAGACCTACTCGTGTGATTAAAGTTCAGCAAGTAGGTAAGTGTCTGTGGGTTTGTGGCTTTTCTTTAGCCTCTGATTTTGGGTACCCATCTTGAGACATTTTGTTCCTGATTTTCAGAAGTGCTGAGCACCCCCATTATAAGCAGAAGTGAATGGGAACTAGGGTTTCTCATTCTCTGAATATCATGGCCTTGGGAACCTCAGATAGCAAAACCAAGATTCGCCTTTGGAAAATAGGGGCCTTCTTTTGTAGATAGATAACAACAACAACAAAATCCAGGAATGTTTGCAGGAGATAATTCTACACGTGACTCAATACTTCTGTACAAAGCACTGCCAAGATTCATATCTGCTGAAGGAGAATTCCCAAGCCTTCAATCCCCATTGCCTGTTTATAGCTCCCTTAAACTCCCCAACCCTCTTCTCAGTCTATTTGGGATGGCCAGCTTCTCTCCCTCCCTAAACATCCTCCACCTTCTCCTCATCACTGGTGCCAATTTCTGTAGCATGTTCTTATCTCTCCACCTGCCTCAGCAACTCACTGCCGCATGCCTCCACTGATCCACACACACACACTCTCTCACTCCTCTTTTAATCGCAGGCCAGGTCTCCCCCTGCCTCAGATATCAGCGTCATGACCTCTCCAACTACCACGCCAACCCCCATTTCCTCCAAGATCACTGAATGCTTATCTGCACGTGCAGACTCCGTTGCTCCTCCAGCTTCATCCTGCTGCTTCTACTTTCCACACCATGCAACCTGCATTCTCTCAGCTCTCTAGTGACCACATCCTGGCCAGACCTCAGGGCAGGTATACTATACAGGGCAATGTCAATCTAAAGTATGCAAGTCCAACTACATGAATAGCAAGTTGCTGTGGGGGCGCCACTGAAGGAAGTCAATGGGAGAAACTTTCCTATTGACTTTGCTTATGCTTTTCGTTCTGGTGAAGTACTAGAGTCGACAAAAGAGCGATTGGCAGTCAATTAAATGGGTCTTTACTAGACCTGTTAAATCGACCCCCAAGGAATTGATTGCCATAGCACTGATCTTCAAGTAAGTGTAGACCTTAGGGTCTCACCACCAGCTTGATCCTCTGTTGCTTTGGACAGTCTGAAACATGCCTTTTCAATGTTTTTCCCCTCTCCAGTCCAACAAGGCAGCCATTAAGATCCTCTTCCTTGCCCATCACCACCTAACCTGGCCCATCATCACCTAACCTTACTAACTTCCTCGTCTCCATCTCATAAAGTGCAAGCTTCCTGCTCTTGCCTGAAAGACCCTGAGTAACTCTGTCATGTGTTCTTGACTGCACCGGTCTCTTTTTGTTTCATCCCTCCTCAACACTGTCAAAGAACTAGTCTCTACATTCCATGGGTCTACGTCTTCCAGCACAGTTTTTACCCTTTCTTCCACTGCCCAGAGGTAATCTGTAAGGTCACTATCTTCTCCCCATTGAGAACCCTCTAGTAGACTAGCTTTGGGGGAGAAGAAAGGAGACACACAGAGCGTACGGGGAAGTGATAGAGAATACAATAGATGGTGGTGTGTGGGAGAGGGTGGAGCAAAAGGAGAAGGATGGTCTAGTGCAAGGGTGGGCAGTAATTTTTGATGGGGGATGGCACTCCAAGAATTTGAAAAGTGGTCGAGGGCCACACTCTTCCATGATATTAATAGAGAACGTGCAGAGTCTGGGATGGAGGTGGCATGCAGAAAGGAGCTTGGGATAAGGGATTGGGGTGCAGAAGGGAGTGTGGGGTCTGGGAGGGAGTTGGATGAAGGAGGCAGTTGTGACCTGGAGGACTGAACTGGGGTGCAGGAGTTTGGGTTGTGACCTAGAGCAGGAGGGGACTGTGACTTAGGGCATGGGATTAGGATACAGGAGGGAGGGCAGAGATGTGTGTTGTGACCTAGGACACAAGGGGATTCTGATCTGGGACACTGCATTGGGGTGCCAGATCTGGGAGAGAATCTGGATGCAGGAGGAGGTAGAGGGTTTGGGTATATGGAGTCGGGAGGCAGGAGGGGGGGGGAGGGTCAGAGTGTTGGAGAAAAGAGGGGCTGAGGTGCCAGAGGCAGGCTCTGGCCAGGAAACTTCCCCGGGTAACTCCCAGCCAGCAGCCCAGCATGTCTCTGAAGCAGCCTCCCTGCCTGCCCTACCCCTGCACAGGCTGCAGGGCCATGTGCATGTATGAATAACTGTGAGCTGGAGGGGAGGGAATATGATGCTTTGCTTCATGGATGCCTGTTATTCAAACAGGTAGTTCCCACTGGCCGGTTTCTGACCAAAAACCAATCAATGAGATTGTGCTGGGTGTGGGGGCAACACCTGAAGCCCACACCGGGCTCAATTTTAAAAGAGAAATGGCCCGGCAGCCGCTTTTTTGTGGGGCATGCAGGTGAGATGAGGCAAGCAGGGAGCCTGCCTAGGGCTCCCTGCTGCATCCACAGGCCAGATCCAGAGGCTTGATGGGCCGGGTGCAGCCTGCAGGACATGTTTTTCCCAGACCTGGTCTAGTGGTTAAGGCACTAGCCTGGGACAGAGGAAACTTGAGTTAAATTCCTTACTCTACCATAACTTCCTGTGTGACTGTGGGCAAGTTACCATTCTAGTCACTCTGTGCCTCAGGTGTTGACCTGTAAAATAGGGTACTTCCCTACCAAACAGGGGTACCATTAGAATAAATATGTTAATTGTGAGGTTCTGAGATACAACAGTGATGAGAACCATGGAAGTGCCCAAGACAGGAATGGAGGGGTTAAAACCAAAAACAGATAGTCAAGACAGAGCTCGAAGACATGATAACAGTCTTCATGTATGTAAAAGGTTGTTATGAAGAGAAGGGTGATAAATTCTTCTCCTTAAACACAGGAAAAGTGCAATGGGCTGAAACTGTAGCAAGGAAAAATTAGGTAAAATGTTAGGAAAAACTTTCTAACTGTCAATGTGGTCAAACAAGTGAGCTAGGAAAGTTTTGGAATCTTGATCATTGGACATTTTTAAGAACAGCTTAGACAAACACCTGTCAGGGATGAGGTCTACATAATATTCAGTCCTGAATTTCCACGATTCTAAGAGACAAGACATTGGTCATAGAATACAACAGAATAAATAGAAGAGGAAGAGAAAGAAGGTAAAATAAAAGCAAGAGACTGATGGAGTAAGTCACATTTTTTTTTCAAATGTATTCTCTTCCCTTAATTTCCCCTGGCAGGGAAGGAGAGAGAACCTGATAGTGAAAATAATCAATATACACATTAGCAAGCAAACCCCTGTACCCATAAAAGTGAACTTGAGTCATCTCCTACTCTGCCACCAGTAGCACACACTCACTGACCAGTGCTGGCAATTCCTCTATATTTGGTAATGGAATTTCATAATGATCTGGAAATATAACGAGTTTGGCTTCATCTTCATATTCAAAATCATCATTGTTTAAATCGCCATTTGTTTCTAGATCTGCAAAAGAGAGAGAGAGAACGTAAGGAGATGATAAAACTGATAAGGAAACTGGAAAAAAAAATCTTCAGACAGAAATCTGACAATATCTTTAGGGAGGAACAATATCTTTAGGGAGGAAAAACTGAGGAACAAAGTAGCCATCTTGAGTTAATACTCACACACAATCACAGCAGCCATTGTGTTGTTAGGGACACTGCTCTTTGGGAAATAGATAAGATCCTGGTATGCGTTTGGGTTACTCATTAAGATGCATTCTGGTAGGAACTTTCATCTGGGTCTTGACTTTACAAACACTGAGGCTTTGTCTGTACTGAATCATAGAATCACAGAATACTAGGACTGGAAGGGACCTCGAGAGGTCATCGAGTCTAGTGCCCTACCCCCATGGCAGGACCAAATACTGTCTAAACCATCCCTGATAGACATTTATCTAACCTACTCTTAAATATCTCCAGAGATGGGGATTCCACAACCTCCCTGGGCAATTTATTCCAGTGTTTGACTACCCTGACAGTAGTAGGAAGCTCTTTTCCTCTTTTATCCAAGTAGAAAAATGTGGGTACTTTGAACATATGGGTTTTGATTACCTTCATAATTCCAAAGATATAGTTTACCTTTTCTCCTCTTCATGAGGGGTTTCTTTCTGAACCTTTGCACCAACGTGCCCAGTTTGTTTTTACTAGCAATTTTTAGTCTTATTTGTCATGTACTTTTAAGACCGCAGCTGAGGGAAGAACAGAGAAACTAACCTTAGTTCTTTTGACCTTCATATGATTGTGGTTGCAATGCAGTGGACCCCATCTCATCTTTTAAATTTGCCAGGGCCACCTTTTCTATTTCTGTTCCCACTCTTCAGGCACTGTGAAAGTGCTTGCAGTCTGTTGTTTAACAGTCTGTTGTGCTTCATTCTTTTCCAGGTTTTCAACAACTTTTTCCAATTTCTTATTTTCCTGCTTATTTGTTCGAGCAAATCATATGCCTGGACAGCCTATGTTGCTTCTTCTATTCCTCCTCCTCCCCTCCCCCATTGATTTGGGAAGCTAGTATTTTGGAATACTGTTTAAGCCATCTTATATTAACTGCAAAATTCTAGCTTTTTACTCTTATTCCTATTCTTTCCCAAATCTCCTCTGGATCTCCTTCTCACTCAGGCTACGTCTAAACTACATGTTTCTTACAAAAGAGCTCTTTGGAAAAAAAGCTTCTTCCTCGCAGAATGAGGATTACCAATGCTGGAAAAATCCCTTTGTTCTTTCGATTTTCTTGCGGAACAACACAATTGCAGTGTACAAGTTCATCAAGTTTTGTCAGAAAAATGGCCATTTTTCTGACAAAACTTGATGAACTTGTACACTGCAATTGTGTTGTTCCGCAAGAAAATCGAAAGAACAAAGGGATTTTTCCAGCATTGGTAATCCTCATTCTGCGAGGAAGAAGCTTTTTTTCCAAAGAGCTCTTTTGTAAGAAACATGTAGTTTAGACGTAGCCTGAGTGAGAAGGAGATCCAGAGGAGATTTGGGAAAGAATAGGAATAAGAGTAAAAAGCTAGAATTTTGCAGTTAATATAAGATGGCTTAAACAGTATTCCAAAATACTAGCTTCCCAAATCAATGGGGGAGGGGAGGAGGAGGAATAGAAGAAGCAACATAGGCTGTCCAGGCATATGATTTGCTCGAACAAATAAGCAGGAAAATAAGAAATTGGAAAAAGTTGTTGAAAACCTGGAAAAGAATGAAGCACAACAGACTGTTAAACAACAGACTGCAAGCACTTTCACAGTGCCTGAAGAGTGGGAACAGAAATAGAAAAGGTGGCCCTGGCAAATTTAAAAGATGAGATGGGTCATGCCAATCATGAGTACTGTTATCCAGCTATTATGCACCCACCTTATAGTAGCCCCATCTAAGTTGTATTTGCCTAGTTTATTGATAAGAATATCATGCGAGCCCGTATCAAACACCTTACTAAAGTCTAGATATACCACATCCACCGCTTCTCCCTTATCCACAAGACCCGTTATCCTATCAAAGAAAGCTATCCAATTCACTCCAATTCATCTGACGAAGTGGATTTTACCCATGAAAGCTTATGCCCTAATACAGCGTTTCCCAAACTATGGGCTGCAGCCCGGTATCAGGCCGCAGAAAAAAAAATACTGAGCCTCAGTGTGGTTGCTGGGGTGTTCTGGGCTCCTGGAGTGCTCGTGTGGCGCCGGGTCCGCCAAGCCCTCAGGACTTGCCTGGGGCATCGGGGCTGGCCGGGAGAGATTGGGGGGTCAGCAGAAGCAGGGCTGCTGGGGGGCACGAGGTCGGGGGCGGGGAGCTGGCCAGGGAAGATGGGGGAGGGGAGAAGAAGCGGCCGCCAGAAGCAGGGCTGGACATGGGCAGCGGGGCTGGCCAAGGGAGATTGGGAGGAAAAGCGGGCGGAGAACTGCCAAGATTTTCCAAAGAGGATAGCTAGAGGCTCAGATACCTTGAGTATTCTAGAATGCATTTCATCAGGTGACTTGCAGGCATCTAACTTTTCTAGGTGATTTTTAACTTGTTCTTTTTTTATTTTATCTTCTAAACCTACCCCCTTCCCACTAGCATTCACTGTGTTAGGCATTCCTACAGACTTCTCGATGAAGACCAGAACAAAGAAGTCATTAAGCATCTCTGCCATTTCCAAGTTTCCTGTTGCTGTTTCTTCCTCCTCACTGACCAGTGGGCCTACCCTGTCCTTGGTCTTCCTCTTGCTTCTAATGTATTTATAAAAAGTCTTCTTGTTTCCCCTTATTTGGTAGCTAGTTTGAGCTAATTTTGTGCCTTTGACTTTCTAATCTTGCCCCTGCATTCCTGTGTTGTTTGCCTATATTCCTCCTTTGTAATTTGTCCTACTTTCCATTTTTTATATGACTCCTTTTTTATTTTTAGATCATGCAAGATCTCGTGGTTAAGCCAACATGGTCTTTTGCCATATTTTCTATCTTTCCGGCACAGCAGAATAGCTTGCTTTTGGGCCCTTAACAATGTCCCTTAGAAAAACTGCCAACTCCCCTCAGTTGTTTTTCCCCTCAGTCTTGATTCCCATGGGACTCTCTGAGCTTACCAAAATCTGCCTTCCCGAAATCCATTGTCTCTATTTTGCTGTTCTCCCTTCTACCCTTCCTTAGAATTGTGAACTATGATTTCATGATCACTTTCACCCAAGCTGCCTTCCACTTCCAAATTCTCAACCAGTTCCTCCCTATTTGTTAGGATAAAATCTAGAACAGCTTCCCTCTTAGTACCTTTTTCAACCTTCTGAAATAAAAAATTGTTTCCAATGCAGTCCAAGAACTTATTGGATAGTCTGTGCCCCGCTGTGTTATTTTCCCAACATACTGGAAAGTTTCTTTCTATATAGTCATACTAATGTGACCTTCCATGTGGACACACTTATTCCACTAGAGAATGGCTGTCTTTGGTTTTGCTAAAACGTCTTTCCATGCAACAGGAACCAAACCAAAAAAGGTACTTATACTATAATAAGAGCATGACCACTGGCTTTATAGCTGTTCAGCTCTAGAATTTAATTTCACATCTTAGATTTCAGCAAGAACACTTTTCCCTAAAGACAAAATAATCAAAGTCTCACATTGCTCCTCTGTATGGTATAACAAACAAATGAGGAAGATGAAATATAGAGAAGCTGAGGCCAACATTTTCAAAAGTATTTTTTCAACTTTGATGCCTCATTTGGGGAGATCCCAACTCGAGCCACCCAGATTTTCAGAGGTACTGAGTAAGGATGTTAAATTTAGACTAATCAACTAATTGAATAGTCGATGCAAATTAGCCGATAAGGGCGCCTCCGCCTTTGAAATGTAGCAAGAGCCCTGATGACTCTTGTTACGTTTCAAAGAGAGAAGCGCTATGGGGAGTATGAGGCCAGCAGGGGACTGCTTGAGTCCCCCGCTTGCTCCATGCTCCCGTGGCACTTCTGCTTTTGAAATGTAGCAAGAGCCCCACTGAATCCTTGCCTCCCTCCTCCACGGAGATGGTGCAGATAGAGGCAGCAATGGGGGAAAGGGGAAGCGACTAGTCGACTATCCAATAAGCATATGCTTGTTGACTAGTCGCTTACACCCCAAGTGCTGAGAACTTGAATCTCCTATTCACTCCCATACCTCCCATTCTCTGCCCCTGGAGTTGTCATTGCTCAGCAGCTCTGAAAATCAAGACCCACATGTCTCACATGATGCCGCACGCCCCAAAATAGAAGTGTACAAAAGCAAAGGGCCTCTCGGGGAAATCTTGGCTGTGATTTGCTCATCCATATGTGGCCAACTTACTGACACAAAGCATTTTGGGTACAGTGAATTAACTTCCCTTCCTACCCAGTAACAGATGAATATAGAATGAAAGCAGCTGATGCGTGCTGCAGAGACTGTTTGCCTGCTCCCATGGAGCCTTCTCATACATGTACGAATACAGAAAATGATACAATGAGATCCAGCTGAAGTGTCCCGTGTATTATTATTATTATCCTCATCATCATCACTACAGGTTGGACCGCCCTCGTCTGGCACCCTTGGGACCCGACTGTCCCGAACAAGGGAATTTGCCAGACCTGTAGAGGTCCCTTTCAACATGGACTGTGCTGCCCTGGACTAGGGCTCTAACCCAGCCCTGCTGCTGCCTACCTGGCCGTGGCTCCCCAGGCCAGAGCTCTGTGGCCAGGACCAGAGCTCCCTAGCTGCTGCTGGGGTTGGAGCCAGAGCTCTCTGGCTGCCACTGTCGGTCCTTGCTACCACTTGGCCACAGGGGCCAGAACTCCCTGCTGTGCTGCCTGCCCCACGGTGCTCCCCTCCTCCAATACGGGGTTCCCGGGTGAGTCACCACGCTCCCCCTCCGCCGCTACACGGATGTTGCCAGACCAGAGAGTTGTGGTTAAGGGAAGTACAACTTGTGTTATTATTTATAAAGGAAACTCAATGCCCAAGATTAACTGGGTTAACAAGCAATAGCATTTAC